ATAGATAGATAGATAGATAGATAGATAGATAGATAGATAGATAGATAGATAGAGATAGATGATAGATAGATAGATATAGATAGATAGATAGATAGATAGATAGATGATAGATAGATGATAGATAGATGATAGATGATAGATAGATAGATAGATAGATAGATAGATAGATAGATAGATAGACAGACAGATAGATGAGAGATAGATGCTGGATGAATACTGCACTGCCAAATGTTCATCTGATGAGCATTTTCACTTTAAGCCCAGTGATTGGCAGGCTAGAGGAGGACAGGAGCAGCCTGGCGAGACGAGGCGAGCTGGCACTCAGTGCGGGGCTGGCCACAGAATGCTGAGCCAACAACCCCTTCTGTTCACTTTAGTGCCAGGCCTGGCATCAGAGGCACTAATGAGAGGCAGATGAGCCAGCCGGATCGAAGACTTAATTAGGTCCCTATCAAGCCGCGGTCTCTGTTTTTTAGCACTGCGCCGCGTCATCATCCTCCAAACGGCAGCCCCATCTACAGCATGCTGGGGCGCAGGAAAACATTTTTTATGTCCAAGTTACGACGCCCTCAGCCTACCCACCAGCGCATAGACGCACACACTCATGCACTCTCAGCACACATCCATGCGCTCCATGCTAGCCTGAAAGCTGCTGACATGGGGCTCTGCGGGATCTTAAAGCACTCTCTCAAGATACTTCGACTCCTGCTTAAAACCCAACAAGACTCTTGTTGCTTTTTACGGCATGAGGCCCCAGGCAGCTATAACAAGCAAAGGCTTATAGCGGCAGATATTTCTTGCTGCATTTTCTCTTCCGCTGAGCGAAACCTGTGCAGTGCACCGTCAGAATTAACTCTGGCCAAAGCACATAAGCAGGGTTGTGTCCTCTGGGGATCAGGCTTATGGGTCCAAAATGGTAGGCCTCTCTGCCAGCGCCCACAAGGGTAGCAGCAGTGTTTGAAACTCCCATTGTTCTAGGCACATTTTGCAACAGGGAATTTCATTAGCGCCAGTAGTTTCTGAGCTCTGGGCGCAGTACCGCGCCTGAGATTTCAGATTAAAACTGCAGAGTGGAAGGAAAGGGGGACCTTTTTCTGCCTCCCCACTTCCAGCCACTCTCTGAAGAATGGAGAAGAGACCCTCTTAAAAATATTAAGGGGGTGGGCAGGGGAAGCATGGCTTTGGGTTTTGTTTTGTTTTTTGTAGTTTTCAGGTAAGGACTAAACCATGTGAAAAAGGAACACAATACTTTTAGCTGCAGGTCATTCATTTTCAGCTTTGTATTCTTGTACTAAAAAGTGTGCCTAGACATTCCGTTGTTGCGCCCATAACCTAGGTTTAAGGAGCCATTTAGCTCCTAGCTTTCATATCTCAGTTTCTAACACTGGGTAGCAGCTCCTGCGCGATCATCTAGTCTGGATGCTTCTTCCAAGTGGTTCTGAAACAACAGGAGTGCTGTTTTTGTGCTGCCATTTCCGTTTAAAGCTGCAGGATGCTTCATAACGATTCCCATCAGCCGATCTGCCTGACAGGAACCAGCAGGGTACTCATATGCCCCAGCATGGGCATTGCTGAGATTTATGTTAGGGGGATAGGACGACACCCACACATCATCATCCTCTGTCTGGCTCTGTCCAGCAGATTCAGAATGAAATGTCTCAACAACAGTTGTTTTAGATTACTTTCTTTTGACCGCAAGTGCTCAGAAAAATCTGTCAAAATCTTTCTACAATCCCTACTTTTAGTTAAGTGTTTTTATTTGTTTACTTGATGGGGGGGCAGCTCCCCCCCCCCCGCCTGGCTACGTCCATGTGCCCCAGTGAGATTCAGGACAGAGTGCAGGGCACACCGGTTGTGTACTAAATTCTAACAACAAACGAAGACCAAAATTCTGCATCAAGGTTAGCCCAAACAGCAACATCCAAACACATTCTGCAATCTGCATAAATTCAGCCAATTAAACAGATTTGTGTTCGTTCCCTTTATTTTGTATGATTTTGCCATTGTTTTCCACATTATTCTGTTTTGGAGAGAGGTAAGGGACGCAGGTGGCGCTGTGGTCTAAACCACAGAGCTTAGGACTTGCCAATCAGAAGGTTGGCGGTTCAAATCCTTGTGAAGGGGTGAGCTCCCGTTGCTCAGTCCCTGCTCCTGCCAACCTAGCAGTTCAAAAGCACGTGCAAGTAGATAAATAGGTACCACTCCAGCAGGAAGGTAAACAGCGTTTCTGTGCGCTGCTCTGGTTCGCCATGCTGGCTACATGACCCGAAAGCTGTATGCCGGCTCCCTCGGCCAATAAAGCGAGATGAGCGCCGCAACCCCAGAGTCGGCCACGACTGGACCTAATGGTCAGGGGTCCCTTTACCTTTACCTTTACCTTTAAGGGAGCCTCTGATGGATGGAAATCATATATACCGGTAAGCAGCTACTTCTTGGGCTTTTAAGATTTCACCAGACATTACACACATGGACACAGACATACTTTTAAGTATATATTTGCAGGACTAGAAACTTGTTTTGTTTTTGTTTTTAAGCAATGAAACCTGAGATCCCTGCAGTCAGTTAGTCTCATGGTTTATGGTACTTCTGCATTCCCACAAAATCACAGCATGAATAACCTGGCGCAGGAGTGTTAGCAGGGAGGAAAACAAGCACCTACCTAGCTAGGAGGACTGAAAAGCCCGTCAAGCTTATCCTCACCTTCAATACAGACAGAGTCATCTCTCTATCCCTTTACACCCTCTAAATTTATGTGTGTGATGCCGGCCGGAGCATGAGACAAACAGGCTGGGGATGCCTCTTGGAAAAGTCCTTGCAGAGCCACTTTTTTCAAGGAAGTAGCTGACAAGGCCTCCCTCTCGCCCCCACCTAGCAGTGCCGCCAATGTTTGGATTGGCTCTGCTTTCCTGCTTTAGTCAGCAGCCTATCTCACTGACATTTTCCAGATGACATTTTTCCTGGCATGGAGACGGAGGAAGCTTAATTTTCTCCCTGTCTTTTGTCAGGCTTCTATTAGGCATAGAAGCATGGATGACCTCGCTTCCTCCTCCTCCTCCTCTCACTGTTGCTGGATTGGTAGCAATGGTAGCTCCCCTTCACAATAGCCAGAGAAAAGTATGAGGAGAAGGAAATGAACCCATCCTATGGGGTTAGGGCTAATAGAATGAGCATCAAACACTGATGCTGGGAGTCAGGTTGCTGTCAGTCATGATAAGGATAGGAGGGAAATCCTATTTGGCTCACATTTAAAGGTTAATCTACCTATTTGGCGCTTTCTGAAACACGACGTGAACTGAAGTGGTGTCTTTCAAAATTCACACTTTTTTGAATTTTGCAATGCACTGCAAGTAACATGCACCAAAATATACCAAGGTGACATGAGCCTAGAATATGTATTAGTGGAAATAATAAAATCATGTGTTATATTAGGGGAAATATAAATTTGGGGGAAATCCGCTTTGCAAAAAACATGTACATTGGGGAAAATGTATACAAAAATGTACGTATTAGGAGAAATGCACATTAAATCGCTGAAGAATTTTCATGAGGACTTTTCGAAGCAGAATTTACAAACTGATGTGGAAATGAGGACAACTGAATTGAAGATTAGAAAACTGAGAAAATGTGAGAAACTGTAAAGGACAGATTCATCTGTCCCTAATCATAGATACTCTCCCTTAATTCTTATCATGTTAATAATAATAGCAAAAACACCAATAATATAAATCCTGCAAACCTGAAGTCCTTCCAACCCTCTTTTTGTGTGCATGTGTGACTGTTGTTGTGTTCTAGTCAATATCCATGTTGTAGGAGTACAAAACCCTGCTTTCACCTTGAAATCCTTATCCCCTAGCTTCTAGCTAATTCTGGTGACTTTCCCCGTCATTGAAGTTGTGTAAAGACCTGGTCTTGCTAAATCAAAGTGGTACCATGCAAGAGCTCAGCTCCTCCGCAAGTAAACTGAGCTTTGCAAAAACCCAAGTTGCCACATTCAGCAATGGGACATCCTGAGCCCTTTAACAAGTTAATTTAGATAAATGTGGGCAAACTGTCGGACTTCCCAGGGCAGGGGGCACAAAGTTGCAGTGCTTGCAGCATAGATCAGAAGTGTCTAGAGTACCAAGCCCTGCCATTCCTAAAGCTACATCAGGCCAGGAGGTGAAAGAACTTGAAAGCCAGGAATTCCAAGGAACAGGAAAACCGGGGACCTGAAAATGGAGAAGGGAACAGAAAGCAGAAAGGGCAGGTGAAACTTGTCTGAGGCTTTGGAGGCAAGCAACAGCTTTTGCATGAAACACCGAGAGCTTTGCATTGCATACCGCCCATCTTTTCCTATCAATTACACTAGAACAGGTGCAGTTTGGCTGTGGTGATGACTCATCACACATGGCACCGACTTCCTGTGCACGATTTCGCTCTCTGCGGGTTTTGCGTGGTATTTGAGAATGCCTCTCTAGAGTTTCGCACACCTGCGGGTGCACACGCATTTGTTTTTGTGAATGCGGCTGCAAACCAGCTACTCCCTTTCATCTCTGACTGCTTGTATAAACTCTCCATGTGCATGTCGGGTGTGTGTGTGTGGAGCTGCACATTTTTGCACGCGTTCCTCCGCTTATTCCTTCCTATTTGTCTGTACTCCGTCGTTGTGCTTCCACGTCTCTTTTCCATCCGTGCAATTTGCCCCCCACGAACCCGCGTGTAAACTGCTTGCAATGTTCTTAAAGCACCCAGGCCAGAAGCGGGGCCCTTTACTCCACAAAACCTTCTCAGGATCCCTTTCTTGGGCAACTTGAGCATTATCTCCTTCCAGCAAACTGCGCCCGTGTCCCCCCAGCCAATGCTGCTCCCTGGAACTTGGAGTCCCCGGGGCCCCATCCTCCCCTTGTTTCTCCGAGCCTTGGGACTACGAAGCCCACAATCCTTAGCGGCCTCCCCTGCCTCGCGCGGCTCTTTGGGAGATGCAGTCTCTGCGCTGCGCTCCTGCCCATTTACGAGCAGGCGGAGAGGACTACAATTCCCAGCAGCGCTGCGAGCCTCGCCTGCCTCCGCCTCCCCAGCTGGCTTGAAGGCTGTTATTGTTGTTGCTAAAAGGTTAGTGGAACAGCTGGTTGCTCTCTGGGTAAGAGACGTCTTCGGGATTGGGGAGGGGGACGTGGCTACTTTCTCTCCTCCTCGCCTTTCTCGGCTGCTCGGAAAGCGGATGGCTCAAACGGACTGGGGGTGCAGTGGGGCGCCTTGCTCTATTCCAGGAGCTTTTAATTCCCCCCCACACTTCCTGCGAATGCTGTGAGCAAAACAATATGTAAGCAAAGAGGGGGAGTGACTTGCCTCCCCCGCAGTCAAAGGAGTCGTTTGCATTGATTTCCACTCCTTCGTCGCTGAAATGAATCTGGGGAGGGCTGGGGAAGGCAAGAAAGGCTCCAACGGGCCTTTAATCCTGAGCTTGCGGCACAAAGGGTTGAGGTGGTGATGGGGGAAAAAGACCAAGGGAATCTCTGAACCCCTGTACCAAATGCTAAGGTCTTTCCTGGCTACTTTTACTTTTCTTTCTTTCTTTCTTTCTTTCTTTCTTTCTTTCTTTCTTTCTTTCTGCCACCCCCCTCTTTGCACACACAAGCCTCCAGAATCTGTCAGTTTGGAGACAGCCCAAGCCCTCCTGCCTCCATACTTAATAGGCCTGGGATATTCTATGCCTGCCATACCTCCCTCCCCTCTGTTCTTATTATTACGCTCTCTGTCTTGGATATTATTCCTGTCCTGGGGCCTCCCAGAAAATGTATTAACAGCGAATGAGATGCGAGGTCCGCTGCGCGAGAGGCTTGTGTTTATTTGAAGACAGCCTGGGACTTCTGGTTTCTTGAAAACAAAGTTTCCCTTTGTTTGGCTTCCAGCCGCAGGACTCCCAACCCTGACGCCTGCTAGGACGCTTTTACAGGAGAGTCATAATAGCCTTTCCCGAAACAAGGTGGGGATTGAGCACTCCAAATGGCAAGCCATTTCACCATCCCCTTGTAAAGGAGGAGGATGGGCTCCTGTTGCGTAAGCCTTGCAGCAGGCCAGCCAGGTCCTCAAGGCTTCTCCTTGAGCCTTCCCACGCTTCTGCCTGTTAGATGGAGAGATCTGATTGCTGGTTTGTTTTGCTGTACCCTGCACAGACATGTCTGGGCTCTCTGCTGGGCTCTGATTGGTGTTCCTCTTGCAAAAGCACCGCCCAGATGCTCCGGGAGAAGGGAATTTGGCCAAAAGTGCTGGGAGCTGCCAGGCGTTCATTACCCATGTGGTTTGGCCGGGACTCTGCCTGGGTCATGGGGCATATTGGGATAAGCTTGTTGCCTTGACTTGTTGTGTAGATCCGAAAGCATCTCGTGTGACAAGGTTTCATCACAGGCTTCCCCTACTGAGAAAGGTTGGAAGGCCTATTTAGAATCGATCTGAGAAAAAGTGGATTGATGAGGTTGATCAAATTATGTATGGTGTGTGGAAAGTATACAGAGAAAATGTGTCCGTCCGTCCCCCCATTCTCTCTCTCTCTCTAATGTACAAAGGGACGCGGGTGGCGCTGTGGGTTAAACCACAGAGCCTAGGACTTGCCGATCAGAAGGTCGGCAGTTCGAATCCCCGCAACGGGGTGAGCTCCTGTTGCTCGGTCCCTGCTCCTGCCAACCTAGCAGTTTGAAAGCACATCAAAGTGCAAGTAGATAAATAGGTACCGCTTTGGCGGGAAGGTAAACGGCGTTTCCGTGTGCTGCTCTGGTTCGCCAGAAGCGACTTAGTCATGCTGGCCACATGACCCGGAAACTGTACGCTGGCTCCCTCGGCCAATGAAGCGAGGTGAGCGCCACAACCCCAGAGTCGGTCACGACTGGACCTAATGGTCAGGGGTCCCTTTACCTTTACTCTAATGTACACACTACCTGGGGTCATCCAAGGAAGCTGAGAGGTGGGACATCCAAACAGACAAAAGGATGTACTTCTTCACATATTCATGGAGGATAACTCTGACAGTCTGGTCACGGTCGTCATAGGGCTATTTCTCTCCTGCTCTGCTGTATGGACTTCCCATGTGCCCCTGTGAGAAACGAGATGAGGAACTAGATAAGCCTTTGGTCTTTTCCAGCAGGGCTGCTCTTAGGTTTCTGTGCACTAAACAATATGTTTGTATGTGTAAAAGTAATTGTCAAGGGTCCGTTTCATGCGCTTGCAAGCACCCAGCCAAGAGATCTGTGCTGTGCACTCCCATCCCTGTGCAACACGCCTGCTACTCCAGCAGCAACATAGAACTTGGTTATTTGATCCTTGTTACGCTAATAAGAATCTAAGAATTGCTTTGCCCTTGCTGGGTGACAGCAACGTTCATATCACTCCGCATTCCCTCTTCCATCCCATTGTGCTAGCACAACCATTCAGTTGAATATCACCCATATTTGTGCAAAGTTTGGGGTGACAAAACCCTCCTCTTTCTAAAAAAGCTATTGTGCTACCATGAAGACTAGAAACTTTTCATTTTTTAAAAAAATACTCAGTGGTGCAGCATGCCAAAGTTTCACATGAGACCTCTTCATTACTAGTCTGGGCAGGCTCCAAGATTTGCAGGCAAGGGAGCAGAGAAGTATCAGATATGGTTATATCATTAGGAAACAAATCAGTTCCTTGCATTGTCTCAAGGCCAAAGTTAATAATAATTGCTGTATATGGTAAAAGTCAAGAGTGCTGGTATCTGGACTACATTCCACCGTAGATGACTGATGCCTTACCTTGATGACAAATAATCCTTTTCACCCTGCCTTCAAATTTACGATGCTATGAGCCTGGGTCTCGGTTTAGCCGCTTTGCGGCTGGTCTTTATTGTTATGTTTTGTTTTTATAAATGTATAAGCTTGAGGTCGCCAGTAAAACGTATTTTCTCTAGTGCAGCAAATTCAAATCAAAATAAATAAACAAGACCAGTAAAGTCACAAAACCAGCAGGCCATAGTCAGATGACAAAACTCTAGAAAAGCCATCCCATTAAAGAAAAAAGAAAAAGTTGGAATGTCTGGGCAAATAAGCAAATGTCTCTTGCCTAGTACCAACATCAGTTTGGGTATCAGACAAGCTTTTCTGGGGGAAACGTCCCAAATATGCAACACCACAACCAATAAAGACCTTTATCTTGTTATCTCCCACCTGACTTTTGATGTTCATATGTTGACCCCTGAGGACGCATATAAGGGGACTCTTATAATGGCCTCTACCATGCGCTCAGTGAGTTCCAGCAGCTCAGTTTGTCAGTGGGCTCTGCTCCCTTGTAGGCAGAAAGCAATAGTTAACACCTGGGAAGACCACGAAGGAGGGCAGGAAATGCCAGCGGAATAATCTGGGCACCTTAGGGATGCCGTGTTATTTCTGTTGCTGAAACCGGACATGAATGTTGTTTTTATTCTGAGAATCTTCTGTGAGCCTCTTTGAGAGCCTCTCAGCTCTATGATGCGGGAAATATTAGTGTTCTAAAATAAATACATATAGAACAGGCTCATATTGTAGGAGCAGTCCTTATATATGCTGTGCTCTGGGCAAAACTAAAGAGAGTGCTGTCTGTCAGCGGCCCACACAAGAAAGAAACCTCCAGTTCCTCAATTCTTTAGGTTAAGTCAGTGGTTTTCAAACACTCTGCAGGGAATTTTTCGTCTGTTGACTTCTGTGCTAAGGAAATCCTATACTGTACATTTGCCACAGAACCGATTAGTATTGCAATGCATTCTGGGATGTGTGCCAGTTGCCCAGTAAATTTATATGCAGTGCTAACTGGGCCTGTTGGGTCTAGCTGTTGCCCCACACCAAGAGTGGCTGAATGTGACAGGGGGACACAAATAGTAGTGGGTAAACTGTCTTTCAAGGAAATTTGGTCACCTCTGTTGGTGTTTTGAGTGAGGAGCCCACAGTGAGCTTTTAAGGAACCCCTGAATTTCTCCTCACAGCACAATTTGAAGACCACTGGGTCCAATGAAATCAATGAGTGTTCAAATTCTTACTCATCTCTAAGCCAAGTCTATACAAGTTTCTAGCCTCTTGGTTTTCCCAGCTATATGCCATGGCACTGCTACCTGGGGATGGAAATAAAACTTCATAGAGAACACCAGCAAATCGTTCTCACCTCTGTCGCTGGTCTTTCAGTTCCAGTTATGGGCAGCACTGGCAAAACCTGAACTCTTAATTTATTTACTGCCAAAAGCCTTTTCAGCCGTGCCCCACCCACTTGACAATGGCAGTGCAGCAAATCTATGTGAAGCAGTAGAGACCTATCTTACTATTACATAATATTATATAGCATTTTTGTAAGATGAAATGGAGCGTTTGAGCAAAACAAGCAGGCCAGCAGCTCCAGTGAGCAGAGGAAACAAATGAGTGGGCACGTGGGTGGCCCAGGCTGGCTTTCTCGTCTTCCCTTGATTGTTGCCGCCGCCACCCGCAATAATAATAATAATGTCCCATCCATCTGACTGGGTCCCCCAGCCGCTCTGGGCAGCTTCCAATATACAGTACAGTGGTACCTCAGGTTAAGAACTTAATTCATTCTGGAGATCCATTCTGAACCTGAAAATGTTCTTAACCTGAAGTACCACTTTAGCTAATGGGGCCTCCTGCCGCCGCCACACTGCTGCCACACGATTTCTGTTCTCATCCTGAAGCAAAGTTCTCAGCCCGAGGTACTATTTCTGGGTGAGCAGAGTCTATAACCTGAAGCGTCTATAACCTGAAGCATCTGTAACCCAAGGTATCACTGTACAGTCATACCTCAGGTTACAGAAGATTCAGGTTGCATTTTTTCAGGTTACGAACACGCCGAAAGTACTGGAATGGGTTACTTCCGGGTTTTGGCGGTTGTGCATGCACAGAACCGCTAAATTGCTCTCTGCGCATGTGCAGAAGCGCCAAATTGGAACCTGCGCGTGCGCAGACGTGCACTGCTGGTTGCGAACGCTGCGGGTTGCGAACGTGCCTCCCCCACGGATTACGTTCGCAACCCGAGCGTCCACTGTATATGAAAACACAGCAAAACATTACACGTTAAAAAGTTTCCCTATACAATGGTACCTCGAGTTACATACGCTTCAGGTTACAGACTCCGCTAACCCAGAAATAGTACCTTGGGTTAAGAACTTTGCATCAGAATGAGAACAGAAATTGTGCAGCGGCAGCAGGAGGCCCCATTAGCTAAAGTGGTGCTTCAGGTTAAGAACAGTTTCAGGTTAAGAACGGACCTCCAGAACGAATTAAGTTCTTAACCCAAGGTACCACTGTACAGGGCTGCCTTCAGATGTCTTATAAAGCGTATAGTTACTCATCTCCTTGACATCTGATGGGAGGGCGTTCTGTACTTGTTTGCATGCATGCACAGCAGGGTGAGGGAAGTCTGGGGTCCGAGAAAGCAGGCAGCCCAGCTGAACGAGCGAGCTAACAGGTGAAGGGGGTGATCTAGAGTGAGCAGGCAGGCATCGTTGTCACCAAGGAGGGGGAAGTGTTTTCCCCCTTTGTCTGCCACCACCACCATCAGAAGGAAGTGTGCCCTTCAAAATGCACCCTTCCATCTGTCGGGATCAGCACAGGGTGAAGGGGAGAAGGACTTTCTCTGCGTTCCCTTCTCCATGAGTGGTGTTAGCAGTGGGATCCTGGGATTGGGCAAGCTGTGAGGGGATGGGGGATTTGGAAGAGGGTAGGGGATAGGGATCACCACGGGGGAAATTAATTTGGGGCAAGCATGCAGAGGAGATGAACACAAATAACAGGGAAAGGCAGTAGCTCAGTGGGCAGAGCATGTGGTTTGCATACAAACTTCAGTCCCCTACATCTCCTACAACAACGTTGTTGTTAAGTGTGAACAAAGGAAGACAGTTCCAGATAAAGTGGCTTATTGTGGAGCAACCTGTGGTTGCATTTGTGAGATGGTGGGCTGCCATGCATTTAACAGACATGACTTTCCTCAAGGAAACTGTAGTTTACCCCTCACTGAGTGCCAATGCCCAACACTCTTCACAAACTGCAGTTCCCAGGATTATTTGGGGGACAGTCATGCACATTAAATGTGCTTTAAATGTATGGGGTGTGCAGCCTATATCTTGGGTGCAGCTGGAGGTTAGAAGGGGTCACTGATGACTGAGGTGGCAGCTGTGCTCCACCCGAGACATTTTCTTGAGGTGAAATAGTTAATGGTGCTGATGTGTGAGAGAGAGAAAGAGAGAGAGGTGATGGTGAAGGAGGAACAGGGCAGGACCAAGAGATGCTACTGCCTAAGGCTAAGACTAGGATGCATAGTTGTCAACCGTCCCTTATTTGGCGGGAAACTCCCTTATCCCAGTGCCATGTCCCGCTGCTGTCCCTTATTGATGGATGTCCCTTAAATTTCCCGGGTTTCAAAGGAAGCAGCTCCTCTCCCTCCCTCCCTCCCTCCCTGCCGGCCAGGGAGGAGGGAGGCTCCAACTGTGTTTCTTGGCTGCCCGGCCCGCCCCCCTCCGGCCTCCTCTCACCAGCCTCAGCCCCTGGGAGCCCAGCCAGGACTGGCGGGAGCCTCGGGCCCTTCCGCTGCCATCCTCCTCGCGGCTGCCGAACTGAGTGTCTCTGCCTGGGGCCTCACCTCTGCCTGTCGCCGCAGCTCCCGCTCCTGCTAGGCCGTACTGCGGCTGCGCCGCCAAAGGACCCAGATGAGATGGGCAGCCTGGCGCGGCCTATGAATTGCTAAGGAGCCTTGAGAGGAGAGCGAGCGCAACCATAGAGAAAGCAGTTCAGAGAGAAGAGTAGGCGGAGGAGTAGGCGTGGGCAGGTGTTCCAAGGGCTACAAGGGAAGGACCGCAAGCGCTTCTCCCATAGATTTGTAGTGGTAGACTAGCATAGATGGTCTGATCTGCGGCTTTACTTCGGGCGCTATTTCCCCCCCCCCTTCCTCCCGCCCCACTTGATGGAATTGAGAGCTGCAGATGGAGCACAAGAAAAAAGATACAGAACTGCAGCAGCATCTTTGTAGCTTGGACTTTGTTTTGTGCAAAAAGTGGTTGCTGCTTGTAGTTATTTAATTGCAGTGTTTCATCGGCTGGTGTCTTGAGCAGCGACCTCTGGAAACGAAGGGCTAAAAACTGGCACTGCTCTCCCAAATTATCTGGTCCCTTTTAACTTCAGCTGATTGACTAAAATCCCTTTTTTTGGCTGCTGGTCCCTTATTTTCAAATCTTTAAGTTGACAGCTATGCTCAGGGGTGCCAGCCCCACTTAAGAACACAATACAAACCCTGCTAGATAAGGCCAACGGCCTATCTATTCCAGCAGCCCGTCCTCACAATGGCCAGTCTGTGGGCAGCCTACACACTGGACCTCAGCACAACAGCACTTCCACATTTCTCGGCAATTGGTATTCAGAAGTCTCTTGCCTCTGACAGTGAAGGGAACTGTCGTGGAAGATCCTGCTTCAAATCTCTGCCCATTCAGTAATGAAAATTGCTGTGTGGCTCGGGGGCAATGTCTCCCTCAGCCTATCTTCCTCCTATCATATTGGTTGTGTGAATAAAAGATTTGGATGCATCCATGTGCCCTTTCCACTGAAGGTGCCAGGGAAATTGTTACGCTTAATTATAATAATGCCAAATGAACACCGATAAAGGTGGCCAACCTGTCTGGGTGTGGCTGTTCACTCCCTCCCACAACTCTGCATTGCACAGTTGTTGTCATTAGTTTTCAGGAAAGGAGCATGACCTGGTTGTGTCATTTCCTGTAACCAACATTGGCCTACCTCTGTGATTTTACAGAGGACGGAATCCAATCTCACGCTAAGTCTTGTTCTCCTGGTGCGAGGATTTCTCCTTGCCCGACAGGGTGTTAAGCCATCTCTCCTCCCCCCCTCCCCAGTCTAAATTTGCTGTAGGGGTTACCGCAACCCTCTAGAGCAAATTTGGGGAGGGTGTGGCGTGCACGATTGGGGGGGTGCTGGCATTTGTGCTGCACAAGCAAAAATCCTTGCAGTGGCAAGGTGCAGTTGGTGAATAATCCGGAATCTCATGCAAAAAGTGGATTCCAGGCATGTTCGTTTTCTAAATCCCTCACTCGCAGAATATCAACACATTATCACCTCTCTCTTTCTCCCGCCAAATTTCCCACTGCCACCACCCTTTGAAGCCTCATAGCTGCATATTCCTGCACTGATCCTGAGTCCCTTCCAACTCTATGAATTTCTGCCATGTCCTTAACTTAACCCATTAGCCCTACTGAAACAACGCCTTATACACAATGGCGCTGAATCACATTCATTCACTCTTTATCTTTGCCTCTCCTCTCCCTCTGGTGACTTTCCTCATTGTCTCAGTGCAGACTGTAAGCTCCTTGGAGCAGAGACTTGCCACACACACACACATACACACACTTCAATGCAGTGGTATAAATCAGTCGTGACACTTCATAATGAATAGGTCCTCGTAGTTGTGGAAATACAATCTGCAAAAGATCGAGGGGGTGATATTTCTGTGTCCTGCGTAGCTATGACCTTTCCTCGTGATCTCTATCAACGCTGCTCTGCAAATGCATCCCCCACTGCCCATTGCATCCTTACATTTCCCCTTCCTGCCTGAAGGCAACATTTTGCTGAAAGTTTCCTAGTTGCGCAGAACAAAAACACAAAACCCAGTTATTGGATTGGGAATGAAATGCATCAGGGGTGTGGGGACTCAGGCCTGGGCCCAGAATGTGGCCCTCCAGGGTTCGCTGTCTGGCCCTTAAACCTCTCACCAGGCCATGCTTCACAAACTTCCTTGAGTGCTTTGACTGCCGGAATGAGTTCTTGCTTGCCTGGGTGGGAGGTTAGAGAGATATGTGCAGAATCTAGCCTACTTTACAAAGGTGAAATTCGTGTTTGTTCCTCACCTGCTTTTGCATACTCTCCAATATTTATCTGATGAAAGTAGGGATATCCTATTCCATCGTTATCATCATTTTACTATTTATACCCCACTGGGTTGCCCCGGCCACTCTGGGCAGCTTCCAAAATATATACAGACATAATATAACATTAAGCGTTTTTTTTAAAAAAAACTTCCCTATACAGGGCTGCCTTCAGATGTCTTCTAAAAGTTGTATAGTTTCTTCTTGGCTCCGGGGTCACATAACTCCAGACCCTCCAACATTTCTCTGATGAAAATAGGGATGTCCTTAGGGAAAGCGGGACATTCCAGGATCAAACTGGAAACCAAGACGGCTTCTGTAAATCTGGGACTGTTGCTGTAAAATTGGGACACTGGCAGGGTCTTTTTTGCCTCTGATCCCTCCCATCAGTGACATTTGGCCCTTTAAAGATTGGCCAGAATGTGGCCCTCAGACAGGAAATGGTTCCCCACTGCTGAAGTACAAGGGATTAAGCACACATGCATAGTAAGCAGATAATTGCACTGCAGTCTTATTTTGATCCACGGAATTTGTAATTTGTTGGGGTAAGGGAGGATAACAAGGTCAGGCCAGAGCTGCGTGCCTGATGCAATCACATCATCCAGATGTGGAAACCGAAACTGTGCTGAGAAGTTTGCATCCGAAGAATCAGCATAGTGCAATCCTGTTTATTATTACAATCGTACCTCGGATGTGGAATGGAAATCCATTCCGGAAGTTGGGTTGACTTCCAAAATGTTCGGAAACCAAGACACGGCTTCCGATTGGCTGTAGGAAGCTCCAGCCAATTGGAAGTTGCTTTGGACATTGAGGTTCCGAAGAACGTTCACAAACTGGAACACTCACTTCTGGGTTTGCGGCGTTCAGGAGCCAAAACAGTTTTTCCGGGTCATGTGGCCAGCATGTGCGAACCAGAGCAGTGCACAGAAACGCTGTTTACCTTCCCGCCAGAAGGTTTTATCTACTATTTATCTACTTGCACTTTGACGTGCTTTCAGACTGCTAGGTTGGCAGGAGCTAAGACTGAACAGGAGCTCACCCCATCACGGGGATTTGAACCGCCGACCTTCCGATTGGAAGTGGTTTAGACCACAGCGCCACCCGTGTCTCAGGAATAAATTCCATATTATTCTATGCAGCGTACTCCCATAAGGGTTGTGGCCTCGGTGTTTCCCCACCCCCCCAGGCTGGGCAGATATTTCTTTCTTGGAAGACAACATTCCACCCCACCCCCCTAAAAACAAAAAAAAGACTGGTCCCTGCCCCACTGAGCTTACAATCTCGATTTCAACAGTGGGGAAGAGAAGCCAGATGAAATGTTCAGATGTTTGGTGGGTGGGGTGTCCATGCCTATGGAGCTAGTTCAGATTCCTGCCTTGCAGGGGGTTGGACTAAATGATGCTCTCCGACTCAACAATTCTGTGGCCTTCCTTCCCCCACTAACCACCCTCATTTGCCTCACAGCCGCCAAGATGGAAGAGGTGCAGTCCCAACCCGGCGTGGCTTTCCTGAATGTGACCTCGAGCTACGTGCCCCACACCAAGGTGGAGTGTCACTACAGCCTGCCACCTGGCATGAAGCCGTCTGCCAGAGACTGGATTGGGATATTTAAGGTATTTCAGCTGGAGAGTGGGTGGAGGGAAAGTGGGACACACTAGTGTTAGAAACTCAGATATATAAGCTAGGCGCCAATTGGCTCCTTAAACCAAGGTTACAGTCACCAAAACGGAAAGTTGCCCTTTGGGGGCAAGATGGCTCTAAAGTCTTGTTTTTTCAAATGATGGACTGACTGTGATTGAGTCTCAGTTAAACATCTGGCTAATTCAGATGACAAACCTGAGCTAGGTTAAGAGCTTTGAGAACTTGAAGAAGAAAAGGCACTTGATCCAGGGATAATCCAAATATCTATTGGCTTATTCCGACCTCTTTTTCTTAATGGTGACATGGACCATTCATAACATAAGAATATTCTTCACAACTCTGAGCAGGGCTGTGAGGTGGGGTAAGCTAAGAAAAATTGCAGCAATTTTTATTTTTTGAAATAATTTTGATTTGATTTTACAACTGTAAAATTATAACAATACAGTGGTACCTTGGGTTAAGTACTTAATTCGTTCTGGGGGTCCATTCTTAACCTGAAACTGTTCTTAACCTGAAGCACCACTTTAGCTAATGGGGCCTCCTGCTGCTGCTGTGCCGTTGAAGCACGATTTCTGTTCTCATCCTGAAGCAAAGTTCTTAACCCAAGGTAATATTTCTTGGTTAGCGGAGTCTGGAACCTGAAGCGTATGTAACCCGAGGTACCACTGTACAAAATACATATCCATATTTAGAGATTTCTCCAAAGCTCTAGACTTCCCACCTTCCCCTCCATGGGTTCTATTGTCAACCTTTTCAACTGCATACTATTTCATAATCCATATTTTATATTTCTCCATTTTATCAATATTTACTACATTACAAGTGTTATTGCAATCCTGCTAATGTTTTCATCTGCTTACATTGGTCTGTCAGGCCAATTGTAATTTCCCCCCATTCTTTATTAAAGTTTTGGTCGTCTTGGTTCCTGAGCTTTCCAGTCAGTTTTGTCATTTCAGCATAATCCAACAGCTTAGCTTGCCATTCTTCTCTGGTGGGGACATTGTCTTCTTTCCATCTCTGGGCTAGTTACATCTGTGCAGCTATTGTCACATACATAAAAAGTCTTTTCTGCTCCCTAGGAATATCAGTACCTACAATTCCTAATAGAAAAGCTTCTGGGGTTTTTTCAACTCATTATATATCATTTCCCAGAATGCTTTTATTACCTTACAGGTCCACCACATACAGTGGTACCTCGGGTTAAGTACTTAATTCGTTCCGGAGGTCCGTACTTAACCTGAAACTGTTCTTAACCTGAAGCACCACTTTAGCTAATGGGGCCTCCTGCTGCTGCCGCACCGCCGGAGCACAATTTCTGTTCTCATCCTGAAGCAAAGTTCTTAACCTGAAGCACTATTTCTGGGTTAGCGGAGTCTGTAACCTGAAGCATATGTAACCCGAGGTACCAATGTATGGTAAAAAGTGCCTTCCTTTCCTTCACATTTTCAGCTGATATTTGTACTTATACATTTTTGGTGACATACAAACTGCAACGGTTGTTCACTGCTCCTGCTCAGGCTGCACAGGAAAGAAGCATTTTTGTTCCAGAAATTCATTCCGATTGTGCAGACAAAATATAACAGATAGAATTCTACAGGATGGGGTATTAGCGTGTGAAAACAGTCCAGATTCAATGATCCCTAGGCACGCATCTCCAGACAGTGGAGGTGTCAGGCATCTTTACTTGGTCACAAGTGGTTGGAAGCCAGGTGTGAAATGTGCCTGGCACCTGGCTAATTTCAAACACAGGACACATACCGTATTTTTCGATCTATAAGATGCACTTTCCCCCTCCTAAAAAGTAAGGGGAAATGTGTGTGCGTCTTATGGAGCAAATGCAGGCAGGAGGCTCTGCTCAGCACTCCCTTTAAAGAGCCGCGTGGAGCCCTTCTCCCTCCTCGGGGAAAAGCCCCCAAGACGCTCCACGCGGCTCTTTAAAGGGAGCACGGCTCTTGGGGGAGCCTTCCTCCCGCTGCCCGGGAGAGGCTGTGTGTGGCTATCCCATAAACCAGTACAGCAAGCGGGATTGCTGCGCAGTGATCCCACTTGCTGTCCTGGCTTCTGGCTTAGCCCCAAGCAGCCTCTTCCGGGCAGGGGGAGCCTTCATCCCCCTGCCTGGGAGAAGCTGCGCGCGGCTATCCCATAAGTCGGGACAGCAAGAGGCTATCCCAGAAGCCAGATCCCTCTAGCTGTTCTGGCTTCTGGGATTCAGAATATTTTTTTTCTTGTTTTCCTCCTCCAAAAACTAAGTCTGGTGCGTCTTACAGAGGGAAAAATACGGTATGTTCTCATTTCCCTCAGCTGTTGCTTTAGTGCCTTTATATATGCCACCCTTTTCTCCAAAGAGCTTGAGGTGGCATATCCTGCTTTCCATCCCCACAACAACCCTGCGAGGTGAACAAGCCTGATAGGCTGTCATTGACCCAAGGTCACCCAGTGAGCTTTATGGCCAGGTAAGGATTCGAACCCTGGTTTCGTGGATCCTCACTCAGAGAGGGCCTTGACTGCACTGTTGATGCACACAATTGCCAATTCTGGTCTGCACAAAGAGCAGAATGAGATGTGAGAGTCCTGAAGGTGGAGAGTGGGCTATACCACTTCAGACTGCCAGTGAAGAGGGTGTCTCATTTTCACAGTGCTCTTCCGCATTTCATTTTTTTAGGGAGCTTTGTAAATAGAACGCCAACACAGTAGGAGGTTGATTTTCTTGTTCTCCCCCTTTGAGCCTGCTGTTACAGGATGTTCTATATACAGGGGAGCGTTAAAAATGCCATTTCTTCCCTTCCACCCTGCTCCGTGTCTTAAGACCCAGCGTCCATCCAGTGTGGTCCTTGGGGGAAGGGGAAGGGAGGAGAGAGAAAAGGAGGAACATATCCCTTTGTGCAGCACAGTGGAGGGCTGTTTATGCAGGCGCAGGCTGCGGGATTCCTTTTCTGTCCCGCTCTCATTAGAAATTGAAATTCAGGGACCCAGGTCAGTATGCTTCCTTCCTTCCTGCCCCCAACAGTACTGGAGAAATGGCTTCCCAACTCAAACTGAATTTGGGGGGGGGGGCAGGAAAGCCTGGGATAGATAGATAGATAGATAGATAGATAGATAGATAGATATAGATAATTTATTATGGTCAAAGACCAGCTTCATATCAGAATAAGAACAGCGTTCATAAAGATAAAATATACAATTAGAGCAGATTGCAGCAATAGCTCATGAGTTAAAATTGAGATACAGTGGTACCTCGGGTTAAGTACTTAATTCGTTCCGGAGGTCCGTACTTAACCTGAAACTGTTCTTAACCTGAAGCACCACTTTAGCTAATGGGGCCTCCTGCTGCCGCTGCACCGCTGGAGCACGTTTTCTGTTCTCATCCTGAAGCAAAGTTCTTAACCTGAAGCACTCTTTCTGGGGTAGTGGAGTCTGTAACCTGAAGCGTATGTAACCTGAAGCGTATGTAACCCGAGGTACCACTGTATATACATACACCCTTACAACTGAGATTTGGGCTGCCATAAAAGTTGACCCTGAGGTGCCCCAAAGGGTGACTTCAGCTTTTCCCTAGTAAGCTATTTTATTCTAGAGGATGATCTGTGCCTACAAATCTGGGTGCAGAATCTGGCTACCAGCCAGGTCGTCTTGTGATCTTTGCCTAAGAGGAGAGAATTAAGTTTAGACTTGTCTGAAAGACCGGCGAGCCTCTTCAGCAAAGGATCAATGGTGTCTCTACGAATCTCAGCTTTAAGAGGACATCCAAATATATATATATGTTCGGGGCTTCCTATTTCCCCTAATGGGCAGGCGCAAAGTCTCTGTGCGTATGGGACTCTTCTATAGGAGCCTTCCAGAACCGGTGAGGGCAAGGCTGAGCTTCTAGCAAGAGTGAAAGCCCTTCTTGGGTTTCTGGATGCGAGGAAATAGAGATATGTTGCTGGAGCTGCTACATATCTCCGGTTTTCTATGATTGTATAATCGGGGACCCTTGTACAGTCCTGTTGTCTATGTCCATGATTCTTTGCCTAACCACGGAAGCTTGGGTTTGCTTTTAGACTCAGGGCTTGAGAAATTCCTCCTCCATCCTGGAGGTGCCGAACAGTGGTTGTTTAGTCCCGTTGCTGCTGGTGTTAAGGGTGAAATGTAGATGCAGTTGTCACTGAGACAGTTCAGAATGAGGCAGAAGGTTCACAGAATGTTAGAGCTGGGATGGACCTCTGAGCTCATCTCCTCTGCTGTATCCAAAGAACCCCGGTTCCTACCTCGTTTTGAGGATGGGGAGGGGCAAAGTGTAGCCCAAGCCAGATTCAAAAGTGAATGAGTCTGTTGTTGTTGTTGTTTAGTCGTTTAGTCGTGTCTGACTCTTCGTGACCCCCTGGACCAGAGCACGCCAGGCACTCCTGTCTTCCACTGCCTCCTGCAGCTTGGTCAAACTCATGCTGGTAGCTTCGAGAACACTGTCCAACCATCTCGTCCTCTGTCGTCCCCTTCTCCTTGTGCCCTCCATCTTTCCCAACATCAGGGTCTTTTCCAGGGAGTCTTCTCTTCTCATGAGATGGCCAAAGTATTGGAGCCTCAGCTTCACGATCTGTCCTTCCAGTGAGCACTCAGGGCTGATTTCCTTCACAATGGATGCGTTTGATCTTCTTGCAGTCCATGGGACTCTCAAGAGTCTCCTCCAGCACTGTAATTCAAAAGCATCAATTCTTCAGTGATCAGCCTTCTTTATGGTCCAGCTCTCACTTCCATACATCACTACTGGGAAAACCATGGCTTTAACTATACGGACCTTTGTTGGCAAGGTGATGTCTCTGCTTTTTAAGATGCTGTCTAGGTTTGCCATCGCCTTTCTCCCAAGAAGCAGGCATCTTTTAATTTCGTGACTGCTGTCACCATCTGCAGTGATCATGGAACCCAAGAAAGTAAAATCTCTCACTGCCTCCATTTCTTCCCCTTCTATTTGCCAGGAGGTGATGGGACCAGTGGCCATGATCTTCGGGTTTTTTGATGTTGAGCTTCAGACCATATTTTGCGCTCTCCTCTTTCACCCTCATTAAAAGGTTCTTTAATCCCTCCTCACTTTCTGCCATCAAGGTTGTGTCATCTGCATATCTGAGGTTATATTCCCTAAACCTCTTGTGCGTCCCTCATCCTGTATAATAATGTGCTGATCTAAGCAACACACCCTAGGGGAAGCTCTCGGGACATGAGCTACTCTCATGCTCTCTTCCCATTCTCTTTCCCAGATGGAGTCCTCTTCATATTCCCCCCCCAAAAAAAAATTTATTCATTTTATAACACAACTAAACAACACAAACAGAAAAACAAACAACAGAAACAAATTCTTGTCTTATCCTTACTGTTTCTAAACATTGTTAGGTGGGCTTCCCCAAGTCCCCCCATCTGATTTTCATTTTACCTCATCTTTAGCAGTTTACAGTGGTACCTCAGGTTAAGTACTTAATTCATTCCGGAGGTCCGTTCTTAACCTGAAACTGTTCTTAACCTGAAGCACCACTTTAGCTAATGGGGCCTCCTGCTGCCGCCGCGCCGCCAGAACACGATTTCTGTTCTCATCCTGAAGCTAAGTTCTTAACCTGAGGTACTATTTCTGGGTTAGCGGAGTGTGTAACCTGAAGCGTATGTAACCTGAAGCGTATGTAACCCGAGGTATCACTGTAAATATATCGTAATTTTTAACGATTTTTTTTATCACACTTACCATAAAAATCTTCACATTTTATCACTAGGTGGAGTCCTCTTCAGTGCGTGATTATTATACCTTTGTGTGGTGCACAGTTCCAGATGGAGGAGCTTCCGCAGGAGCCCTTCTTCACTGTAACGTTCAGTTCCAAGGTGGGTGTTAGGAGGTCCGATGGTCCGCAGCTGGTTACTCGTGGCTGGAGATGCCAAAGCAATACTTAAATTGTGCTTTTCTAAAACAAGGCGGGTGGCGCTGTGCTCTAAACCACAAAGTCTAGGGCTTGCCGATCGGAAGGTTGGCGGTTCGAATCCCCGCCACGGGGTGAGCTCCCGTTGTTTGGTCCCTGCTCCTGTCAACCTAGCAGTTCGAAAGCATGTCAAGTGCAAGTAGATAAATAGGTACCTCTCTGGTGGGAAGGTAAACGGCGTTTCCGTGCTGCTCTGGTTTGCCAGAAGCGGCTTAGTCATGCTGGCCACATGACCCAGAAGCTGTCTGCGGACAAATGTCGGCTCCCTCGGCCTATAAAGCGAGATGAGCGTGCAACCCCAGAGTCGTCTGCGACTGGACCTAACGGTCAGGGGTACCTTTACCTTAACCAGGGGTACCTTACCTTAACCAAGGCAGAAAGGTGACTCAGAAATCATAGAAGGGGATAGGTGGTGACCACGGGACTCTGCTACATTTGGTTTGGGCAACGTTTTTGACTTGTCCTTTGTTTTCAAAACCCATGCATAAGTTCAAAAGTACGCATGTATGTGGATGGGAGTCAACTAATGAATTTCATCAGCGGAAACCCTCTGCAAGAATGGCAGCTTGCCCAAGGGGGCTTTCCCCCACTCCCCCCCCCATGTGTCCCCTGTCCCCTGAAATTGACTCTTGGAGGAGTTGGGAGAACCCCTGAAATAGCATATGGGGGTGGAGAGGGAGGGATTCTTCCATCTGGCAAGCCAAAATAATTGCCTTGACAAATTGATTGCTTTAGCGTGATGTTGAATTCCTCCCATTCCAGGCTTTGCCTTTTTGAAAAAATGGTTCTCTCCATAGCCATTCGCTCAGCTGCTGTGACATCACAGAATGCTCGTAAGCATTCTGACCAATGAAGGAGTGCTACCATATTTTTTTTACTACTACTGTTACACAACTGTTAAATTTACATAAAGCCTCTTTATAAAATAAATTCAGAGCAGCTTTGATTGAATGCAGTGTTCATGAAATACAAACAAGAGAAGGGGCCAACCAACCTCAAGAGCAGGCATTGGCAAACTCGGCCCTCCAGATGTTTTGGGACTACAACTCCCATCATCCCTGACCACTGGTCTTGCTAGCTAGGGATGATGGGAGTTGTAGTCCCAAAAGTTCTGGAGGGCCGAGTTTGCCTATGCCTGATCAAGAGCATGGGCCGGCAAACTAAGGCCTGCGGGCTGGATCAGGCCCAATTGCCTTATGGATCTGGCCCGTGGACGGTCCGAGAATCACCGTGTGGATCGCCAGTGCGTGCATTCTTTCCCTCTCCCTCACACAGCGGCGGCACCTCCTCCCTCCCTCCTCCTGGCTTCTCCCCGCCCTGCCTAGAGGAGGAAGGGGGCTGGGCTTTGTTGGTGCCAGCAGCAGCGCTTGAGCGGCCGCCATTTTAAGCAGCCCCTCTCCGGAGCCCTTTCACGTGCCGCTCATCGTCCCTCTGCTGCCATCGCTGCCAACCCCTGCCGCTCACAAGACACAGGTAAGCAGCTACCGGGGCTCGTGATGCTCTTGCATCTTTTTTTAAAATATAGTCCGGCCCCCCACAAGGTCTGAGGGGCAGTGGACCAGCCCCCTGCTGAAAAAGTTTGCTGACCCCTGCTCTAGAGCCTCATTTCTTTCCTTTGCTGCGGTGTCAACCATTTTGCGTTCTTCAGACTGTACGTAACACAGATCAGTAAACAAACCCATTTGTTGTGTTTACAGCCAGCTACCTGCCCAAGCCAGGCCCCCAGCAGTACCAGTTCCGCTATGTGGATCGCCGTGGGGAGGTGCGTGGTCAAAGCTCCCCTTTCCAGTTCAGCGAGCCGCGGCCCATGGATGAGCTCGTCACTCTGGAGGAGGCGAGCGATGACGGTGGGGGCACCGACATGTTGCTGGTGGTTCCCAAGGCCGCCCTGCTAGAGGTAATATACTCCCAAGCAACACCCTGAATTTCAGAAGCCCCCTGACTGTTCAGCCTGGCGGATCATTTGCCCAGCAATGCCCATCACCCCTAGCCCTTGGCTGTGCCGTTCAATGCTGATGGGAGCTGGGAGCCCAGTAAAATCCACACAGGTTTCCCAACTTTGAAATATAGATTCCTAGAACAATGACTTGGCCTTGAAATCAACATGGTACGGTCTTTCCCAAACTGTACCACATCGGTCTGCAGGAGGGGAATCGCATCTTTGAATTTTCCCTGTGGAAGCAGTCTTCCTGTAGATGGAAAGCTAATTTGTCTAGTAAAAGACTACGCTAATCTTCTTCTCTCTGATTTCCATCCAGAAATGGTGTGTGTGTCTTTTAATAAATTTAGCGGATTCACATATCTTCGCCTTCAAGTCTATTTTTCCCATTTCATTTCACTTTTAATTTGTATACCGCCTTTCTAAATTACTGTATTCAAGGCGGTTTACAAGCTCTGGAGACAACAAGATAGCAAAGATCACACACCTCACAACAAGCCATGATAAAAGCATAACTTTAAAATAAACAGCCTGTATCAAATAAAAGCAATATGCAACAATCCATTAGAATGTAATGGTAAACAGTAAAATGAAATATCGGCAAATGATAATTAAACAGTTTACACTGAACCATTACAATAATCACTAAAGACAAGTCACAATGCATAAAATACCACAAAACCATACAGAATCAAATTGAGGAAAAAAGGACACACAATGTATAAATATATACAGTGAACACTTGGGTTGCGAATGTGATCCGTGCGGGGGGCACATTCGCAACCCACAGCGCCGCGTCTGTGCATGCGCAGATTGCGATTAGGTGCTTCTGCGCATGCGCAAAGCGCAATTTGGCGCTTCTGCGCATGTGCAACCGCCGAACCCCGGAAGTAACCCATTCCGGTACTTCCAGGTTTTCGGCGTGTCCATAACCTGGAAAAACGCAACCTGAAGCGTCTGTAACCCAAGGTATGACTATATATATAAATTCAGTGGTACCTCAGGTTAAGTATTTAATTCGTTCCAGAGGTCTGTTCTTAACCTGAAACTGTTCTTAACCTGAAGCACCACTTTAGCTAATGGGGCCTCCTGCTGCTGCGTGCCACAGGAGCCTGATTTCTGTTCTTATCCTGAAGCAAAGTTCTTAACCTGAAGCACTATTTCTGGGTTAACGGAGTGTGTAACCTGAAGCGTATGTAACCTGAAGCGTATGTAACCCGAGGTACCACTGTATATATATATCCCTGAGCTGCTCTCTTTCCAGCTGCTTCTGCTGTCCTCAAAGTCATGGTCTAGGAAAGGCTCCAGGGCTGGAGGGTGGGGCAAGGCAGGTGGAAAAAGTCCTTGCCTGACAACCAGCACAAAGTTTCTTTCCGCTCATCAGTTAACAGCCCAGAGGGGCTCTGTCATGCTGTTTCTTCTGAGCCATCTCTCAATTCCAGCCCTGTGTGATAGCAACATAGGGACGGTGACTTTAAGGTAGCGGCTTAAGCAAGTCTGCTAAACGTGTTCCCTGGCCTCTAATGAAGCCTCGCGGGTGTCTCTCCTTATATCCTTCACAGACGCAGTTGGAAGAGAGCCGGCAGGAGCAAGGAGCCCTGCTGCAGGAGTCGTGCCGCCTGAAGGATGAGGTTCAAGAGCTGAGAAGCCGTGTGGCGGAGCTGGAAGCAGTCCTGGGCACGCTTCGGGATGAGCACACCAAGCTGGCTGCACAGTACAAGGCAAGAGAGGAAGCCCAGCAATCTGGGAATTCTCAATCTCTCCAGGTCCCCAAAGCTACTCAGGGCCAGAGGGGAATTGTGCCCTGTTCCCCTTGCCCTGAGGTTCATTTCAGGGCAGGTCAAGGAACCTTCAGCTGAAATTTGCTAAATTTTCGGCAGGGTCTGCCTGTCATAGCCCCTTAGTTAGACATGGGCAACTCCTCATGCTATCAGTGTCTGTCTCCCAATGGAATGGCTCGTGTGATTCATTCCTTCATTCATTTAAGATTTATGCACTGCCAGTGTGGTGTAGTGGTTAAGAGCAGTGGACTCGTAATCTGGTGAACCGGGTTCGCGTCTCCGCTCCTTCGCATGCAGCTGCTAGGTGACCTTGGGCCAGTCACACTTCTCTGAAGTCTCTCAGCCCCACTCACCTCACAGAGTGTTTGTTGTGGGGGAGGAAGGGAAAGGAGAATGTTAGCCGCTTTGAGACTCCTTCGGGTAGTGATAAAGCGGGATATCAAATCCAAACTCCTCCTCTTCTTCTTCAAGCACTTTGTCACGGCAGCTGAATGTTAAAATGTTTTAAATGCCATGAAGTACCTAATACACAAAATAAAAGCATCTGATCTGTGAAAATAACACCAAACTAGTCCGAGTAAAATGAATCAACAGAAGTTATAAAGCCTGAAAAAAAGGAAACAGTTATTTGATTTAAAGACATCAGAGTAGTTTTTGCTCTTCAGATAGCTGGGGCAGTGGCATATCGGGGGGGGTGGGGTGCAAGGGACTGTTGTCCAGGTGCAAAATTGGGGGGAGGGCGCACGCCACAAATTTCAAAGAAAAACAAACCACTTTGAGGGGTATATTTAGCAACCAAGTGGTGTAAAAATGTCATGGAAATAATAATAATAATAATAATAATAATAATAATAATAATAATAATAAATGGCTGCCTCAGCTGTCCCCTCCCCAGCTTCCCTCTCCCTGCTGGGAACACCCTTCCTCACCACCATGACCCCAGCCCTGACAGAAACCGCGGGTTAGTAGGTGTAATATTTGCCTTGCCCCAGGAGCCAGCAACCCACACTATGCCACTGATATGCTAGATTATGATAGTCTTTTTTTAAAATAGAAGCTGCCCATCTAGTTCCACTCTGATCCATTCATCTGACCCATTCATCTTGGCATCACTGTCACGCTAGCTCCTGACTCTTTTTCTTCTTGGGGCTGATCCCATCCAGTCAGGGATTCGGAGTGGACAGAATGGTGTCACAATGACACCTAGCCAGGCACCACCTAACCAATCAGCTTTAGTTGCATAGTGATGTCACTGTAGGCAAGAAATAGCAAAGAAGAGTAGCAGCAACCTAAAGAAATGAAATAAATAAATAAATGGAAGCGTGCTGAGAAGCCACCGAAAAGGGAGGTGTAGATTTCAGGGTGTAGAAAAGAAGTAGGAAGAATTTACGTGATGGTCGCCTTGTGCTCAGATACTACCCATGTCTGTAGGCTGTGTTTCCTTCCTTGGAAATACCAGGTTTTCTGCCACACACACATTATCAGAAATATTGTGTTACGTCTCAAGCATGCACCCAATGCCATGAATGTTGCTCACTCCTCCATCTCCCCACGCTACCAGGAATTATCGAATTCTTTTGCGGAAGTGTCCGAGCAGAGAGATACACTAAGCCTCCAAGAAGCTGAGCACGTGGCCCGAATCCGAGAGCTGGAGGGTGACATCCAGGCCATGGGTGAGAAGATGCTGCAAAGAGAGACGGAGTTGGACAGGTGAGGGTCATGGCTCAATTTCTGGCACCATGTAATTCCCTTAAGCTTACCTGCCCACCATCACAGTTGGCAGCCTCCACTATGGCTTACAAACTGAGCTGAGTCCATCAGAGGGTGCTAATTTTTCCCCCAGCCTGGTTCATACTCTGGTCCACAAGCTGAGTAGGTCCACTGCTTCTCATCCCACCCTCTCCTTTCTCCTTTTGCGCCCCAGAATGAAAGATACTGTCAAGTCTCTGCTGCGTGAACAGGAGCAGATTCACAACCAGCTCAAAGAGGAGAATGCGGAGAAGGAGCAGTACCAGGTGAGTGCTGGGCCAAATGTGGCCCCGGGGCCTCTCTGCCTGGCCCTCGGAACTCTCTCCAGGCCACACCCCTCCTTGGCCCTTGAGTGTTTCTGCCTGGCTAGAATGCACCCTTGCTTCCCTGGATGGAGGACAGAGCGGGATGTGAGAGTGTGTGTAGAAGCTAGCCTACTACACAAAGGTAAAATTTGTGTCAGTTGTTCTTTGCCTCTGGACTTGCCCACTAGGGCTGGGCGATATATCGAGATATCACCCAAAACCGATTTGAACTCCATATTGATATATTGGTTTCATAGTTTTTGACCTGGCAATATATCGCAAATCAGGATCTGTGTTAGGGCTGATCAATATATCATCCAAAACTGGTTACAAGTCCATATAATGAAATTGGTTTCATAATTTTTGACCTGGCAATACATGATGTTTGTGTGTGCTATGCAAAAATCACAATGTGGGAAAACTGTGAAGCCAGCCCATGCCTCTACATAGCTCCATCTTTATTTCATACATTGTAATATATCAGCATATTGTGATGTTTAGTTGGTGATATATCACAAAGTTGAAAACCAGCTCCATCCTTTTTCCAGACATTATTAAAAATGAGTATATTGCAATGTTTGACGAAGTTGGAAACCAGATATCACCCAGTCCTACTGTTCGCGTCTACATAGCTCCATTCTTATTTTAGACAACATGATAAATTGGTATGTTTAGCTGGTGATAAACCACAGTGTTGAAAACTAGATCTCACCAAGCCCTACTGCCGTTGGGATGTGGACTCCCAAAAGGCTTCCCAGAAAGGAATGAGGTCCTTGAGTAGACCAAATCGGAGAGTAAGAAATCCGAGTCAGTGGAAGGGCAAGTATCGCAGCCTAAACATTGTGACTACAACCTCCTTTCTCCTCCTCAGGTAAAGCTGCAGGCCTCAGAAGAGGAGAGCCGCAGCCTGGCCTCTGATCTGCAGGAAGCGAAGACCCTCCATGGGGAGAAGGTCTCACAGACTCTGGGGCTGCAGGAGGACATCAGCAAATTGCAGCAGAAGCTGACGGCTGCTAACCGCCGCACTGTAAGTGCCGGACAGCAGAATATGCTGAACCTCAGCAAGGCACTCTGTCTCCAAGGCAGTGGTGGTTACAGTGTTGGGCTTGGGAGACCAGGGCTCAGATCCCCACTCAGACATGAAGCTAGGCTGGGTGACCTTGGGCCAGTGGCTGTCTCCCAGCCGAACCGATCTCACTGGGTTGTCATGAGGATAAAATGGAGCGAGAGAGGACCGCATATGTAGCTTTGAGCTCCTTGCAGGAAAAGGCAGGATATGAATGTAACCATGCAATAAAGCAGTGGGCACTCAAATTTTCCCCTGCCACCCCCATTCTAAAGGTAAAGGGACCCCTGACCATTAGGTCCAGTGGTGACCGACTCTGGGGTTGTGGAACTCACCTCACTTTATTGGCCGAGGGAGCCAGCTTCCAGCTTCCAGGTCATGTGGCCAGCATGACTAAGCCACTTCTGGCGAACCAGAGCAGCGCACGGAAACGCCGTTTACCTTCCCGCCGGAGTGGTACCTATTTATCTACTTGCACTTTGATGTGCTTTCGAACTGCTAGGTTGGCAGGAGCAGGGACCGAGCAACGGGAGCTCACCCCGTCCTGGGGATTCAAACCGCTGACCTTCTGATCGGCAAGTCCTAGGCTCTGTGGTTTAACCACAGCACCACCCGCATCCCTTTACCCCCATTCTAGAGGAGCTCAAAACAGGGTGAGGTAGAGATAGCCCAGGAAGTGGTGAAATAGCTGGAAATTGGGCTTGGATCCTGATAAGGAAGCTCACGGACCCAAAACCCAGATAGACTCCTGGTCCACCATAAACCAGACCTTGTAGAGGAGAGGAGAGTTTGATTCTTGTCTCTGGGAAAGAAGTCAGGTGGTAGTCTCAGGTTTAGGAGAGTTGGGTGTCAGTGGAGAAACAAGGAATGAGAGAGAGACTAGGGTGGGAGTAGACAGCATGGTGGGATACGGGTGGCGCTCTAAACCACAGAGCCTTGGGCTTGCCAATCGGAAGGTCAGTGGTTCGAATCCCCGCGACGGGGTGCGCTCCCGTTTCTCAGTCCCTGCTCCTGCCAACCTAGCAGTTCGAAAGCACGTCCAAGTGCAAGTAGATAAATAGGTACCACTCCAGCGGGAAGGTAAATGGCGTTTCCGTGCGCTGCTCTGCTTCGCCAGAAGCGGCTTAGTCATGCTGGCCACATGACCCGGAAGCTGTATGCCAGCTCCCTTGGCCAAGAGTCGGTCACGACTGGACCTAAGGGTCAGGGGTCCCTTTACTTAAGTTGCAGCGACACTGGTGATCAGGGGCGCTGTGTCCCATTTTGCCACCTGAGGTTGCGCGGTGGCACCTGCAAAGCAGCAGTGACCACGGCAGGTTCCAGTGAGATCTCGCAGAGGGTCAGGGGTTCCTTTACCTTTACCTTTACCTTAGACAGCATGTTACCCTCCAGAGTCCACCTACCATCATCCCTGACCATTAGTCATGTTGTCTGGGGGCTGATGGGAGTTGGAGACCAACAACACCTGGAGGGATATCATATTGGCTCTTCCTGGATTAGGTTGTATATTGATTAGCGCCACTGGTGGTTACAAAGGGTTTGGGCCACTTGCTATTGTACCACAGTTCCCACGAGGTCTTGCTGCAGGCAAGACATCCTATAATAGGGTGTGGCTGAAATTTTGCCAAAAAGAGAGAACATTTCTAGATTTTTTTTTTCATTTTTCATGCTGCTCCCGAACCATTGGCAGAACGTCAATCCTAGAGAATGTTTCGCAAAATGGCCTCCGTAATTTCACCATATATTTTGGCAGCGACTGTGTTTTAATAATCATTCAGTATTATTTTAATAGTGTTGAAGGAAGCAATAAGCTTGGCCCCTACTCCTTCCAGTCCTCCTCTCTTTGCCCACTTCACCCACCAATGGAAACCAACTGTAAACAGTTCCATTCAACATGAAATGAGTCCACCTTTGTCAGAAGAGAAGATTCATGGAAAGCCTATTGGAGAACTTCACCTCCCCACTCCATCAAACCCAGAATCCACAAACCCACACATCAGTTACACTGGCAGCAGCTCTTGAGGGTTTGAGATGGGATATGATCCAAGCCCTACCTGGAGATTGAATCTGGCACCTTCTGCTTGCAGAGTAGATACTGTTCCACTGAGCTGCCACGCTTCCCAAAAGTAGCATGGAGAATTCTGGGAGGTCATATGGGCTCACCCCTACCCACGCATCCCCTCGTTGCCTCCCTTCCCCCACCCATGTCCCATCCTGTCTCTTCCCAGGTGCAGATGGAGTCTCTGTGCGAACAGCTGCGCTCCACGCAGGACATTCTGGCTGCCAGCCAGCAGAAAGTGGCTCTCTTGGGGGAAGAGTTGGCCAGCGTGGCCTCCATCCGGGACCGCACCATCTCCGATCTGCACAAGAGCCGCCTGGAGGCAGCCGAGATCAACATCAAGCTGGCTGACATGACTCTCAAGTGGAAAGAGGGCAAAGGGCAGTGGTGGAAGGAGAAGGCCACACTGCTGCAGAGCATGGAGGTTTGTTTGAGCCACCCCAGGGTTCCCCAGTCGTGCTTAGTAGCTGATGGTAAACCCTATCACTTTGGCTTCCCGGGTGGGAGACGAGGGAGGATGAAGGTCAGCGCAGTGCAAACTCGCCCTTGGGAGTTCTGAGTTGGTTCCCTGGTGCATCTGCATCATGTTGACATCTCCCTTTTCCATCTCAGTAAGTTGCAGCGACGGTGATCAGGGGCGCTGCATCCCATTTTGCCACCTGAGGCAAAGAGGGGAGCTGCCACCCCACCCTGCTGCCGCTCCCCCACCCCTGCTGAAGCCTCCCTTACTTGGGTTGCGCGGTGGCACCTGCAAAGCAACAGTGACCACGGCAGGTTCCAGTGAGATCTCGCAGAGTGCATGAGATCTCGTGAGATTTCGGCAAGAGCCTCAGCCTGCCTCTTGCCAGGGATGGGAGGTCAGGGAAGCATTCTCGGCCCAATAGCTGCTACCTGCTTCAAGCACGCATTCAGCATTGTCTTCTGTTTTTAGTGGGAAAAGGGGCAAAGTGCCATGGATGAAGTGGAACGTAGCATACACAGATTCAGTCATAGAACTGTAGAGTTGGAAGGGACCCCAAGGGTCATCTAGTCCAACCCCCTGCAAAAGCTTTCTTCTGCCTAAACATCACAGCGACCGATGCCAACCGACACCAGTTGCGTAACAGACCTCAGCAACTCAGCATTTTGGCTAATCTACTTTATTTACATATAAACACACATGGAACTCTGCAACATGGCTCACTATCTCTCTAGCATCAGACAGCAAAGAGAGAGAACAAAGGACAATAGTCCCACTTCACGAAACACAGTAACACAAACATCCTGTCTCCATCACTTCCCACTCTTTGGAGTCAAAACATATACCGTTATGTGAAAGACCACAATCCCATGACTGCAATCACGGAGCAGGAATTCTAACAGACTGTTCCCGTCGAACAGCTCTTACTGTCAGAAGGCTTTTCCTGATGTTTAGTCGGAATCGCCTTTCTTGTAACTTGAAGCCATTGGTTCGAGTCCTACCCTCCAGAGCAGGAGAAAATAAGTTTATTCCCTCTTCCATGTGACAGCCGTTGAGATATTTGAAGATGGGAGTCAGTCATTCTTCGTACAGGGATTCTAATGGCAAGGCAATGTTCAGGGTGGAGGTAGGGAATCGGGAAACTCGGCGTTCTGTGTTTTCAAACATGAAATATTCCCCTAAGTAACTTCTTCCCTATAAGGCATACAGAGATGTGAATAAACATTTCCAGGTATGCTGCACTAGACAATCTGATTTGTAAACTAAAACTACATTTTAAATACAGGGAATGAATGTGAGGCACATTCTGTCATCTCCCATGTTACTTGTAGAAATCACGTTTTTGTAATAATAATAATAATAATAATAATAATAATAATAATTTATTATTTATACCCTGCCATTCTGGCTGGGCTTCCCCAGCCATTCTGGGTGGCTTCCCAAAAATATTAAAATACTGTAATACATCAAACATTAAAAGCTTCCCTAAACAGGGCTGCCTTCAGATATCTTCTAAAAGTCTGGTAGTTGTTGTTCTCTTTGACATCTGGTGGGAGGGCGTTCCACAGGGAGGGTGCCACTACTGAGAAGGCCCTCTGCCTGGTTCTCTGTAACTTGGCTTCTTGCAGTGAGGGAACCGCCAGAAGGCCCTCAGTGCTGGACCTCAGTATCCAGGTAAAACGATGGGGGTGGAGACGCTCCTTCAGATATACTGGACTTTTTAACTATGTGTGTATATATATTTGACTTTGGAACTGTGTGTTTTAAATGTCGGCACGATTTCCCCTCCGATTTGTGGATTCCATCCACACACCCCCCCAATATGATTCCAAAACTACTGCATGATTAGTTTGCTGCGTTGAGGGATGGGCATGGGGTGGGGAGGAGTCCCATCCAGCTCCTCCCCACCCATTGAAGGCAACCCTGTGGTCTCGGCAGGCAGAGAAGGACAAGATCCTGAAGCTGAGCGCCGAAGTGCTGCGCCTGGAGAAGAGCCTGCAAGAAGAGCGGGCACAGCGCCAGGTGTTGCGTTTGGAGTTGGCACAGGAACGTGATTCCAGTCTGGTAAATTGGGGCTCTGGGGGAGTTGGGGGGTGGTCCCCATTGCCCTGGGTGGGAGAAAAATAACAATCCCTTTGAGTTCTGATGGTTTCATTATAGGGCACCCAACACTCACCAGTAGAAACGACTTGCCCTTGTTTATTATTACCAACTCAGGTCCATTAATTTCCATGTGTGAATTACAGTGGTACCTCGGGTTAAGAACTTAATTCGTTCCAGAGGTACGTTCTTAACCTGAAACTGTTCTTAACCTGAGGTACCACTGTAATTCATTCCGGAGGTCCGTTCTTAACCTGAAACTGTTCTTAACCTGAGGTACCACTTTAGCTAATGGGGCCTCCTGCTGCCGCTGCTGTGTGATTTCTGTTCTCATCCTGAGGTAAACCCTAACCCTAACCCTAACCCTAATGGGGCCTCCCACTGCTGCCACGCCGCCGGAGCACAATTTCTGTTCTCATCCTGAAGCAAAGTTCTTAACCCGAGGTACTATTTCTGGGTTAGCGGAGTCTGTAACCTGAAGCGTCTGTAACCCGAGGTACCACTGTACTCTTTTGGGAAGCTTTTCTTGCCTTCCCCTTTAGGGGTTTTTGAATTAAAAAACAAAAAACCATTGTACTTCCACAAGCCTTGGGGTCCCCATCACCCAAGTTTGCTGGCACCTCCCTCTTGTGTGTGGAAGCTGTCATTTTGGCTCCAAAGGGATTGACACTCGCTCCCGAACATTTGAAATTGAAGGAAACATGGTCAGATCCCAACAGTAGGAACGTAACAGCAGGTATTTAGGGGGCATTTGTTGGAGAGGGGTGAGGTCTGGCTCATAGTTGAAAACAGCCGAAGCCTTAGGGATGCGGATATTTGGCTCCACAGCCAGTTCCTTGGCTCGCCACCCACTCTGCCCTGCATCCCACCCATTGCCTTAATATTCTGGAATCTGCAGGCTGGTGAAGTTGATGGACTTTATGGAGCTAGCTGATCTCACTGGGAGAATCCGCGACCAGAAAGAAGAGGAATATCAAGAAGACTGGAAGAAATTTAAAGATTATTTGAACAAAAATTGTAACATTAAAGATTAGTAATTACTTGAAAGAACTAAATAGGCCTAGGATTAAATTAGGATTAAATAAATAAATGAGAAATAGAACGATAAGAAAAGTTAAGAAGTTTGATTATAACCGGAATATTGTTTTTTGAATAATGATACTGGAAAACTGCTACATTCAATTTAGATGGAAGAGATTAGAGGAAGTCAAGTAATATGTTTATCAAGTTGGAAGCTTAACTGACTAAGTTTTATTGTATTTGTGTATGTGGTTGTATTCTTGGTTATTATTTGCTAGGTTTGTATTATTTCGCTTTTTTTTTTCTTTTACTATTATTTTTCTTATTTTTGTTTTATTGAAGTAATGTGTTTGTATGAAATTCAATAAATATTATGGGGGGGGATAATATTCTGGAATGTGCAAACTCTCTCTTTTGCCCCATCAGGTGCAGGTCTCTGAGAGCCGCCGGGAGCTGCGAGAGCTGAGAGCTGCACTGCAGGTCGCCCAGAAGGAGAAAGAGCAGCTCCAAGCCGAAAAGCAGGTTGGTGAGAGGCCATCTCGGAAAGCTTGCAGAAGAGGTGCAAAAGGGGAGAGCAACCAGGAAGCACAAGTTTGAGAAAGAGGGGGAAGGCGTCCTAGGTTATATAGGTTGCTAGGTTGCACGACATCGTGGCCCCCTTCTGCGTGAGGGTTTACGCTTGCGCAGGGGGACTCCTTGCCCTCGCACACCCCCTAAATCTGTTCTAGGGGTTGCCCTTGCAGCCCCTTTTGGGAAGGGTATGGCATTAGTGTGGGGGGAGGAGAGGGGAAAGTCCCGTTGGGCAAGCGGATATGCTTGCGCGGACGGGTCACATTCGCTGGATGCTGCCCACAGCCCATGGCTAGAACTTGAACACAGAACTTGATTTGGGGACATGTCCACCAGCTCTACCTCTCTTTCAAATCGGAACCAGTGAAGGCGGTGAAGGTCCTGTGTGAGTGCCTGGAGGCAGTTGGAGGATGGATGGTGGCTAACAGATTAAGGTTGAATCCTGACAAGACAGAAGTACTGTTTTGGGGGGACAGGAGGCGGGCAGGTGTGGAGGACTCCCTGGTCCTGGATGGGGTAACTGTGTCCCTGAAGGACCAGGTGCGCAGCCTGGGAGTCATTCTGGACTCACAGCTGTCCATGGAGGTGCAGGTCAATTCTGTGTCCAGGGCAGCAGTCTACCTGCTCCACCTGGTACGCAGGCTGAGACCCTACCTGCCCGCGGACTGTCTGGCCAGAGTGGTGCATGCTCTGGTTATCTCCCGCTTGGACTACTGCAATGCGCTCTACATGGGGCTACCTTTGAAGGTGACCCGGAAACTGCAATTAATCCAGAATGCGGCAGCTAGACTGGTGCCTGGGAGCGGCCACCGAGACCATATAACACCGGTCTTGAAAGACCTACACTGGCTCCCAGTACGTTTCCGAGCACAATTCAAAGTGTTGGTGCTGACCTTTAAAGCCCTAAATGGCCTCGGTCCAGTATACCTGAAGAAGTGTCTCCACCTTCATCGTTCTTCCCGGACACTGAGGTCCAGCACCGAGGGCCTTCTGGCGGTTCCCTCGCTGTGAGAAGCCAAGTTACAGGGAACCAGGCAGAGGGCCTTCTCAGTAGTGGCACCCGCTCTGTGGAACGCCCTCCCACCAGATGTTAAAGAGAACAACTACTACCAAACTTTTAGAAGACATCTGAAGGCAGCCCTGTTTAGGGGAGGCTTTTAATGTTTAATAGGTTATTGTATTTCAGTGTTTTGTTGGAAGCCGCCCAGAGTGGCTGGGGAAATCCAGCCAGATGGGCGGGGTATAAATAATAAATTATTATTATTAATATTATTATTATTATTATTATGTGGAATAAGTTTCCTTTATTTTGTTGCTGTTTACATCTCCAACACATTTTGTTTACATCTCCAACACATGTTGCTGTTATTTTCATCCAAATTAGCAAAAATAAATAAAAATAACAGCAATATGTGTTGGAGATGTAAACAAAACGAAGGAACCTTATTCCACATCTGGTGGACATGTCCCATTTTTGAAACATGATCTATGAGGAATTAAAAAGAATGCTAAAACACACATTTTTAAAGAAACCTGAAGCTTTCCTACTAGGCATTCTAACGTTTAGCATCCCAAATGAAAATAAAAGAGTGTTTCTTTATGCGACAACAGCAGCCAGAATGCTAATAGCAAAATACAGTGGTACCTGAGGTTACATACGCTTCAGGTTACATACTCCGCCAACCCAGAAATAGAGCTTCAGGTTAAGAACTTTGCTTCAGGTTGAGAACAGAAACCGTGCTCTGGCGGTCCGGCAGCAGCAGGAGGCCCCATTAGCTAAAGTGGTGCTTCAGGTTAAGAACAGTTTCAGGTTAAGTACGGACCTCCGGAACAAATTAAGTACTTAACCAGAGGTACCACTGTACTGGAGCAATGAGTTAATACCAACAAAAGACGAGTGGCAATTAAAATTACGCGAGTACCTCAAACTAGCCAAAATGACAGAATTAATAAGAGATCATTCAGGTGACAAGGTAAAAAAGGAATGGGATTGCTTTAAAAACTACCTGATAAAATATGGTTCCAAAAACAATATTTGGTTGTGCTTAGATTAATTTCACAGGAAAAACCGATTTTAATACACAAATACAGAATATTTGTCACTTAAGAGAAGTATTGAAGCCGCAACGAGATAGAGGGAAGTCAACTAACAGCAGGGATTCAAACTAGTTTTTTGGAATAGAAAGAAAGTGACTGTAAAGATAGAATGAAAAGAAGGATTAAAAATGTATTTCTTTCTGAGAACCTGTAGAACAGTCAAATTATCTTTTGAACAATTTTGTTCTTGACTAATTCTTTTTCATTTTTTATTATTTATCAATTTTCTTTTCCCCTCCTTTTTTCTTTTTTCTTTTTATTTTCTTTCTATATTTTTTCTTTTCTTTTCTTCTTTTGTATTTTTTCTTTTTCTTTTTGGATATCTGGATGTAATACTTAATTTATGCTTTCTCTGTATTTTTTAAAAAATACAATAAAGATAATAATAATAATAAATAAAAAAAACTTGAACGCAGAATGTGGGAGGTGTATGGGGATGGTCTTTAACAGAAGGTGGGTTTCTACAGTTGGTGCTGACCTTTTCCCGATTCCCCTGCCCCTCAGGAGCTGCTGGTATACATACGACGCCTTGAGGAGCGTCTGGAGAAAGTGGCTGACGAGAAATGGAGTGAATCTATTCTCTGCGATGAAGAGGAGGCAGCGCCAGAGACTCCTGGTCAGTCTCCCCGCCACCCTGCCTCGATTTGCATGCCCAATTATACGTACCAATCCCCATCTCCACTTGTGTCGTGGCAAAAAAAAATGTATTTCATTTTCTTTTTACAACTTGAAAGCTCTTTAGATCCTAGAAACCCAAACATCTATTAGCTCAGAATTCCCAAGTGCCAAACCACCACTGCTCCCCCCCCAAAAAAAAATCCCAAGGGCCCAACTAGGGGCCCCAGACACTAAGCTTTTCTCCTTATTTTTTAAGTAAATCTCTACCCCCTCTAGAAATGAAGTGGGTACCCTTCTAAGCAGTTTCTATGAAATGAATAAGGTTGGCTTCTCTCGCCTATCGGTATATTTAGCCAATAGCGAAGTCACAGCTATGATTGATGAGTAAGTTGTTTGGCCACCAGCCAGTAGGAATCTCTAGAGTCCTAAAGAGCTGGTGTCCCATCCCCCCAATTTAATGCACTTTTGCTGCTTCTCTCTTAATTTTAAGAAAGAAATCCAACAAGTTAAGCCTTTTCTCATATGGAAGTACAATTACGGAAAAGGCTTCTCTCTCTAATTTTGTGTTATGCATTGCCCGCGGCAACCATGTTGCATTATGCAACAGCTTCCCATAGCAGCCATTTTGTGCCTCCAACTGCTCAGAATTCAAAAGGTGCCCCCTGGTCGAAAAAGGTTGGGTGACCCCTGCCCTAAAGCAGGCACCCCCAAACTTGGCCCTCCAGATGTTTTGGGACTACAACTCCCATCATCCCTAGCTAACAGGACCAGTGGTCAGGGATGATGGGATTTTAGTCCCAAAATATCTGGAGGGCCAAGTTTGGGGGTGCATGCCCTAAAGGTTTTCCTGAGGGCCAGCATCTAATCTTTTGGCGTCTAAGCAACCCAGCACCTGAGATTTTTCCACCTGTTCCTGAAGCGGCCTGGTCTAATTTTGCATCCTAAAATAAATTATTCGAGAGAGATGAATTTGCTTCTGGAGCCACAACCTGGCAGCAATTGCACCATTGCTCTCTAGGGAAATTACCGTATTTTTCGCTCTGTAGGACGCACTTTTTCCCCTCAAAAAATTAAGGGGAAATGTGTGTACATCCTAGGGAGCGAATGCAGGCTCCTTGGCTTCAGCAATAGCAACGCAAAGCCTCCGAAGCGCAGAGGGAGCGCTCCCTCCGCGCTCCGGAGGCTACGCGTTGCTTTCACTGAAGCCTGGAGAGTGAGAGGGGTCAGTGCGCACCGACCCCTCTCGCTCTCCAGGCTTCAGAGATGGCCGCCTGAAGCCTCCGGAGCACAGCAGGAACTCACGCTGCACTCCGAAGGCTTCGGGTTCCTTTTGCTGAAGCCGGGAGAGCAAGACTCTCCTGGCTTCAGCAGAGAGGGAGAGCTGCGCAGCGCCCCTTCAGCCATGCGGGAGGAGAAATGGAAGGGGCTCCGTTTCTCCTGCCACTTCGCTGAAGGGGCGCTGAGCAGAGAGGGGAAGAATATTTTTTTTCTTGTTCTCCCCCTCTAAAACAAGGTGCGTCCTATGGTCGGGTGCGTCCTATAGAGCAAAAAATACGGTAACTCTCTCTCGCACACACACACACTTTCACCCTTGACTGTGTGTTTTTGTTCTCCCGTCCCTTCTCCTACACACCTCCCAGGCTCCCTGGACTCGCCGCTGTCCGACTCTGAGGATGAGTGTCCCGAGGACATGCGCCTGCCTGCGCAGCTCGGGTCCTACAGTTTGTGTGACAACCGGGCAGCTACTACCACTCCGCCTTGTGCCCGGGGACCCGCTCACACCGTGGTGATCAGCCAGCCGGCACCCATTGCCAATCAGATCAAGCAGCCACCCGAGGATTCCAGTTCTGACTCGGTGAGGCCCTGGGAGGCAGAGAAGGGTGCAAGTCATGGATCTGGCCAGACTTTTATGAACCTAAGAAGTGAAGAATTTCCTTGCTGGTTGCGGCCAAAACTGCATCTAGCTAGTGTGTTGCGTTAATCAGTGGCCAGTCAGGGGCTCCTGGGAAGCTCTCAAGCAGGGCGTGTTAGAGAATGCAGACGTTCCCAATTTAGCTAGCGCAAGTGGAACCTGAAATAAACTGTTTCAGTGCAGGCTGCTCTTGTTCACTGCCAGCCAGCAAGCCATGCCCTTCGCCACAGCACTCCATTCCATCCCTCCCCCCACTTACTTTTCCTCCTCACTAGGGCTGGGCGGTATATATCGATACAGTGGTACCTTGGTTTGCAACCGTTTTGGATTACAACCACCTCAAACCCTGAAGTGCGTGTCCCTTTCTTTGGATTACAACCCATTTTTTGGGGATTACAACCCTTTTTTTTTCTGAGGCCCCATTGGCGAAAGCGCGCCTTGGGTTACAATCTGTTTTGGTTTACAACCAGACCTCCAGAACAGATTATGGTTGTAAACCAAGGTATCACTGTATATCATCCAAAACCAGTTTGAAGTCCATATTGTGATGATCAGTTTCATAATTTTTGACGTGACATTATATCCCGAATCATGATGCGTGTTAGGGCTGGGCAGTATATCATCATAAATGGATTTGAAGTCCATATCGTGGTATCAGTTTCATAATTATTGGCCTGGCAATATATTGTGAATCATGATACATGTGTGTGCTACGCAAAAATTGTGATGCAGGAGAAACTGTGAAGCCAGCCAATGCCTCTACCTAGCACCATCCTTATTTTGGACATTCTGGTATATTGGTATATCGCGATGCTTAGCTAGTGATATGTCGTGATGTTGCAAACCAGATATCACCCAACCCTAACCCCCACCCCCCACCCCAATAGTCAGTCACCACTCTTTAGCCACTGAGCATGCTCATTCCTCAGTGGTCTGTTTTATGGGAGGTGGGCAAAGGGGTATTTAACCTCCCTAGTTTTTCTATTTTCCAAGTATATATTTATAAGGCTGCAAACCTCAGGGTTCCCCACCTTGCCCACGGCCCAGCCTGCTTATATACCTCCCTTTTATGTGCGGCTAGCGGGTGGCGCTGTGGTCTAAACCACTGAGCCTTGGGCTTGCCAATCGGAAGGTTGGTGGTTCGAATCCCCGCGACGGGGTGAGCTCCTGTTGTTCGGTCCCACCTCCTGTTCGAAAGCATGCCAGTGCAAGTAGATAAATAGGTACCTCTCCGGTGGGAAGGTAAACGGTTTTTCCGTGCGCTGCTCTGGTTTGCCAGAAGCGTCTTAGTCATTCTGGCCACATGACCCAGAAGATGTACGCCGGCTCCCTCGGCCAATAAAGCGAGTTGAGCGCCGCAACCCCTGAGTTGGCCACGACTGGACCTAACGGTCAGGGGTCCCTTTACCTTTAGTGGCTTCTCATTTGCTCACGTACGCAAGAGAGAACCCAGGACAGCTTCCCCTGCCAACCTAGGCATGCCATCATCTGTTTCCCCTAAGTGATAGTCAAAGGAAGTTGGGGGCTGAGCTGCGTGGGGTTGGCAGAAGCCAGGCCTGCTTGTACCGCTTCTTACTTTTTCATTCTGTATTTAGGAGGCTGAGGATGAGAAGGCAGTGCTGATGGCAGCTGCCCAGAGCGGTGGCGAAGAAACCAACCTGCTCCTTCCAGAGCTGGGCAGCGGCTTCTATGAAGTGGCCAGGTAACGGCAGCTAGGATGCTCCCGAGTCTATTTTGACTACAGTTCCCCCTTTTCAGAGAGAGGGCTGTACACCAGTGGTGGGGGACCTGTGGCTTTGCAGATGCTATGGAGCTCCAGTTCAGGGATGTTGGGAGATGTAATCTTAACAACATCTGGAGGTCCACAGGTTTCCCAGACCTGCTTGTACAGGCTCTTAGTGAGTTAGCACCTTGAGATAGAGTGTGTGCATGCACATGTCTTAAAATGGGACTGTGCCTAACGTGACAGCCCCATCAGCATCTCCAGGAGTTATGCACCTTGTCTGCTATCGCAGCAAGCTACAAGACTCTTTACTCTACCCTGGGTTTGCATGGTGTAGTCCAAGGTTTCCCAAACTTGTGCCTCCAGCTGTTTTCGGACTACAACACCCATCATCCCTAGCTAGCAGGACTAGCGGTTAGGGATGGTGGGAACTGTAGTCCAAAAACCGCTGGAGGCCTAAGTTTGCAAAACCCTAGTGTGGCCCCATGCCAAAGTAACCACCGCCACTCCGAACCCAGCCAGGATTTTGCCAGATTTCCAGTTCCATGACGTAGCACTTCACCAGCTCTTTTTGCACTGTTTCCTCTTTCTCCCTCCCTCTGTTTGCAGGGGCCTGACAGGGCGGCAGATGTCAGAGCCGGGGGCTTGCGGAATGGGGGTCTCTCCCTTAGACCTGCCCTCACCGGCCCATTGGAAGGAGTGCCCCATCTGCCACGAGCGCTTCCCGCCCGAGAGCGACAAGGAAACGTTGGATACACATGTTGACGGGCACTTCTTTTTCAGCACCCATGACCCCTTCACCTTTGAGTAACGGTTTCTCCCCCCCCAAAACCCCCTTCCTCCCAACCACCACCATGCCCCTTCTGTTTTCCCCTCTCTCTTCCATGGGATCCAGGCTGGGGATATATGTCCTTCCTTCTCCCTTGATAGTGAGATTGCTATGAGGAATGCTTCGCCCCAGGAAGGGTAGCTTCAGCTGCTAGGTGACTCTTCTCTATGGTCAGAGTCAACTTGCATTAGGAGCAGCAAAGTTAGTTATGTACACACACACACACACATATACTTCTATATGTGCACACATTCAGCCAAGCTAAGCGTCAGTGACTGAGAGCTCAGAAGTTAAGAGTGTGTCTTCATGGCACCCAGGGTAGGCACATGTGTGCAGAGGGGGCAGAACGCGCCAGCCTCGCTGCCAATGCAACGCCAGCCTCAATGATTCCAGCCTTGCAGAGCAGCTCAGGGAGAGTGGCATGAGAAAGACACAACAGCCTTGCACCTCTTGATCCCAGGCTCACCCTCGCTTTGCAAGGCTGGGACCGAAGGGCGCATGGTTGCTGTGTCCTTCTCATGCTGCCCTGCCGATGCGGGCTGGAGGGGCAGCGTGAGGAGGGCCCAGCAGGGCAGGCAGGCGCCCTTTGGTGCATGCCCGTTGTGCCCTCCTGACGCCCTGCCAACCCTCTGCTGTTTTGTGAGGCTGGGATATGGGATCAGACCTGCAAAGCAGCACGGGGCTGGCAGGGGCGGGGTGAGGAGCAAATGGTGCCCTCGGAAAAACTGCACCCCTTGCCCCCCCCACACACACTACACCTCATGAGACCCTGTTTACTCACAGCCAGTTATCCTGCAATGGCAAGCAAGTTTGAAAAAGGGGCCGTCAATCCTTGGCAAACTCAGAGGCCTCTTGACTCTCCTCATCTTGCTCATCCTAGCAAAACAATAACAAAGGGGTAGTTGACATGGCATTGTCCATTGGACTCCAACTCCCATCAGCCCCAGCCAGCCTGGCCAGTGATGAGGGGTGATGGGAATTACAGTATCAGCGATAGCTGGAAGGCACCGCATTGGCTGCCCCCACCCAAAACAGGCCTTGCGAACGGTTGTCACCTTTTGGTGGGCCGAGCTCTCCGTTCAGCGGAGGGTCACTGCAACCTCAGCGAAAGGGTGTCCTGTGATTCTTTGTTCGTGCAACATGGGTTGCTTGTTCTTTTAACCACAGAACACTCTTAAAATGGTAAGCACAGCCTCATAGTGTTGGGCAGTTCACACATGAATCGCCCGTTCCCGGAGGTGGTGCTATCATCCTCACATCCTTTTGCAGTTGTAGCCTGGGGACAGAAGAGTCACTGGGACACGTGGCATTTCAATATTCCACTCTGAACACCAGAATGCCAAAAGTTCACACAATCATGCATGGTGACACACGCACACAGGTGGGTTTCTCACTCAAAGTTGGCCCTGGTAGCGTAGGAAGCAACACGGGTCAAGTTGTTCAGGAAAGCCCAAAACACATTTTAAGAATTATTGAACTGCTAAGCCCCCCGGGCGCCATGACTGCGAACCCTACACTGATAAGCTTAGAACCGGCTTTGGCCATGAGTTTGACGCATACTGTAGACATGGTGGTAAAGGGATTCATAGCACACAAAACATGCACCCGTCTTAAGACCCTTGATGGGGTCTGGATCTGTGCCATCCTTCCCGCACACTTGAGATCTCAGCCAGAGGCCCTCTTGGGGAATCCACACCCTAGGTCTGTGAGCTGTGTCCCCCCCTCCCCCCCGGGAAGGGAGTCTCCTCTGTAGCAGTTTCATGCCTTTGGAACTCCCTCCCACTAGAACTGTGGCATGCCGCAGGGTTCTCAGAAAGCCTTTGAACCTGTTTTGCATTGACCAGCCTTCCCCGAGTAACGTTGCCCCTTTTGTTGGATCGAAGCTGGAATGTTACGGAGGTTTTGAGTGTGCTTTATCTTTTTTGTTTTGTTTTTGTAACACTGGTTATATATAAATATATATAGTTGCAGTTATTTTCTTTATTGTTCTAAGTCGCAGTAGACGTGGTTAACATAAGATAATTTTTAAATAAATAAAGAGGGAGAGGGAAGGATATATCTTCGCAAGGAGAGGGGCTTTGGGGTGAAGCAAATGAGCAGGAACCCCCACACACACACTGAATAGCAGCATCCCAGGCTACAGGTTGAATGATTTGAGCGCTCTCCTCCCATAGAATGCCCCATACGTGCACAACATTTACATGTCAGGAATATAGGAAGCCGTCTTAAACAGAGTCTGCCCATTGGTCCACCTAGTTCAGTACTGGCTGCACTGATTGGCCGCAGCTCCTCTGGGTTTCAGGCAGGGTTTCCCCCGAGGGATTGAACCTGGGATTTTATGAATGCAAAGCAAGATGTCCTCCCACTCGGCTGTAGCCCTTCCCAAAAGTAGCTGGACCCAACTCCACAACACGCCCCTCCCCGCCGAGGTCGTAGGAAGCTGCCTTATATTGAGTTGTCAGACAATTGGTCCATCTCACTCAGAAATGTCTACTCTGACTGGCAGGTTTCAGACGGCATCTCTCTCTCCCCCCTCACCCCCTTCTTAGAGATGTCTAGGACCATGGGTAGGCAAACTAAGGCCCGGGGGCCGCATCCGGCCCAATCACCTTCTAAATCCGGCCCACGGACGGTCCAGGAATCAGCATGTATTTATATGAGTAGGATGTGTCCTTTTATTTAAAATGCATCTCTGAGTTATTTGTGGGGCATAGGAATTCGTTCATTTCCCCCCAAAAAAATATAGTCCGGCCCCCCACAAGGTCTGAGGGACAGTGCTGAAAAAGTTTGCTGACCCCTGCCTAGGACTGAACCTTCTACATAAAGAGTGGGTGGTCCACGGCTGATTTAAAACTAGTGTTTCCCTAGCAAGGATGGAATTTCCCTGGTCAGAGTATATATTCCCCACTTTTCCCTGCAGTCTGAAAAGTGCCAGAACCAGCCACAGATGCCTAGTGAGGCTTCTGTTCACCTAACTTTTAATTCTTGAGTGTGCGTGAGCAGAAAGCAAACAGATGGATGCAAATGAACGAATGTGTGTATTTATCGTTCTAGCTATAGCCCATATTCCAGCAATACCCAAAAGATTTTATTGCTTGCATTTATATGGTATATGGCATTGTTTGTGTGTGTGTGTGTGTGTGTGTGTGTGTGTGTGTGTGTGTGTTGTTTTGTTTTAAATAACAACTAAAGCAACCAGGGTAGTAGACACATAAATTAGAATAAAGCAGAGAAAGACTTCTAATAAAAACCTTCTGTATGCCTCAACACCGCCAGGGAAAGAAATTATATAAATTCCAGGCAGTTCCCCTCCCACTTTAAACATGATCAATATATTTCCTAAATGTAGCTGCTGCCTTTGCATAAGTAGCTAAACACTAAGGTTATTTATTCCATGATAATTCAAGCTCAGAAAATAGTCCAGCAATATTATTTAAACTTTTGGGGGGAAACAGGAGCGCTAGAGTGATGCGAGGTAAAAGCCATTCCTTTCTTAGCAAGGAATAAAAAGTAGAGAAGTTCACCCATAAGGGGCATTTTTAAATTAAAGATGAATCCACATACTGTTGATCAGGGTGGTGGTCTGCATCCCCCTGCCCCAAAATAAATTGGTCAAATTATGCACATTTGCACAAGCAGTGAAGTAATTCTGCATCCACAATAAAGAACAGCAAATCTTTGGATTTCAGAAGCAAAGGCCGGATTGGGCTACTGCAGGAAAGACAGTGCAGCAACTAATTTATTGCAGGGTGCAATAATAAGAGCTGAAAACATGGGCAGCATTTGGGGGTTGCTTTAAAAAAGCAATTAAGGAAGCTGCATTTTGTAGGGTGCAGAATTAGAGACTAGGCATCTTAGTCCTGATTATCAGGCTTGTGTGTCCTACTCAGCCCATACCCCCACATTCTTCCCCCCAAAAAGTAAATTAGGCAAAGTATGAATATTTTTGCACCATTGGCACAAATTCTCCTTCCAAAATAAAGGATAGCAAATGGGGTTAAATTTCAGAAAAGAAGCAAGAAAAGGTGACTACGGGAGAGAGAGAGGCCAGTAGTACCTTAAATGATAGGCTGATTTATTGAAGCATGCGTTTTAATAGGGAAGAGCCCACATCATCAGAAACAGTACCAAACCACTGTAGGATCTTTTCAAGAGAATGAGAAGGGCAGAGAAGAGCATGGAGACTGATGCCGCAGCAGAGGGATGTTATTCAAGAGTAGCCACAGAGGAAAGTTGTGGAGGGAGGATGCCAAAGACATACCTGGGAAGCCAGAATCACATTCATCAGCCTATCTTTGCCATCCTAAATGTATGAAACGAGGAGAGCTTTTGGGTTTTTCTGAGCTGGGAACCACTGATGTGCAGAATACACACAGAATGGCTGTGATGATCCCCATTTTAACATGGAGGAAACCCAGTTTCTTTTTTTAAAAAACCACGTTTGGCATGTTTGGGCTATTGTGCAGCAGGAAGATAGTGAGAGAGTGTGTGTGTGTGTGTGTGTGTGTGTGTGTGTGTTTGTGTGTGTGTTTGCTTGCTTGCCAGTACACATAGCTTTGGGATGCTGGTGGCGCTGTGGGTTAAACCACAGAGCTCTGGTTCGCCAGAAGCGGCTTAGTCATGCTGGCCACATGACCCGGAAGCTGTACGCTGGCTCCCTCGGCCAATAAAGTGAGATGACCACCACAACCCCAGAGTCGGTCACGACTGGACCTTATGGTCAGGGGTCCCTTTACCTTTACCTTACACACAGGTTTGACATGGGCAGGACATGTGGGATTTCTTTTATGCCCAACTTCCACAAAAGAGGCATCTCCACTACGGTCACAGTTAGGTGTGTTATTGGTGCCATGGGGAGCAGCCCGGAACAAAGGTTGACCCTGACATATCATATCTGGTTGAGAAGTTATTCCCTAAGATCTTCCTGCCTCCGTTGAAACAGGAGCAAAACCCACATCTAGCTGCAGTGATAGTCAAAGCTAGGAATAGTAGTCTGCCCCCCAACTAGACGACCTTGTTGTCTCCCAGCCTGGTTCCCATTGTTGGGCAGTTGTCTGACAGCCAATCTACATGTGTGGCCGGCCTGTACCATTTAAACTGCAGGAGGGGAATTACACCTTTGAACTCCCTGCTCACTGAAAGCTAGCATGGCAGGGAGAACGGTTCAGTTGGAGCCTTCCTCGCTTTCTGCTAGTTTCTATAGTTTTTTGGGGGGAGAGCATTTTGAACACTTCAGACTGCTGAAGTGATATCTTAAAGCAGTGTTTCCCAGACTTGGTTCTCTGGCTGTTTTTGGACTACAGTTCCCATCGTCCCTTACCGCTGGTCCTGCTAGCTAGAGGTGATGGGAGTTGTAGTCCACAAACAGCTGGAGGCACAAGTTTGGGAAACAGTGCCTTATGGAGAAAGCCGCACACTCCGATTCTGCTGGATGTTTCAACGGGCTCTGAGACCAGTTTGGAGGCCAGGGTCCCTGATGGCTCATCACATGGTGATTGATGATAGCAGATTTCACCTTGGAATTGTACTCTGTGAGAACTGCCAGAAGCAGAGAAAGGATGAATGAAGAGGTGACCCTCATCCCCTAGTCATAGTTCCTTAAGTAGACTTGGTTCCCTTCCCCTTTTTCCTTCCTGTTTTGTTGTTTTTAAGAAGCCCTTTCTCAATGGTGCCCTGCCACTGCCTCTCCAAACTACCTACTGGCTGCTGCTACTGCATGCATCTCCCTTCCAGTACATTTGCACCCCTTGCTGGGGTCCCATTGTGTTTGGTTTATTAGTTTCCCTCCCTTTTGATCCCTCCCCATCTCATCCCTGTACATATACCCTCTGGCTCCCCCCTGTTAGTTGAGCTTTGCACTGGCTTTCTGCTAATTTTTGGTTGCAAATCCTTCATTTTATTCTGCCTGTTCTTCCTGGCGTCTGTGCCAGGCCCTGAGACGAAGGATGCAAGGCTTGTATGCAGCTGGAGAGAAAGGTCGCATCCGTGCCACTCATTTAAAGCACTCATATGCCACCTCCTCCCCCCTCCAAAAAAATAGAATGCTGGGAACTGTAGTTAAGAGTGCTGACCTCACAGAACTACAATTCCCAGAATCCTTAAACTACAGATCCCAGGATTCCCCATTAAAGTGGTGTAGGAGGGCTTTAAATGCATGGTGTGGAAGGGACCAGAGATGGCGACTCTCTAGCGACTGTGCCTTTTGGGGAGGCTGTGACGCCTCTGTTCGCTTGCGTGGGAACCTTTTGATTGTGTGACGCATTTGTGGCTGTGAGCTCTTCTCACCTGCTTTTTTCCCACCCAGTGGTTTGTTTGTTTTTTACTGAATATAATAGTCAATGGCGAAAAGTTCAAAGCAATAACCCTCTTTCCCCTCCCCTCCCTCAACATCTTGACATACCCCCAAGTCTATGTATAGGGTGTACATATATATATTTATATTTATATTTATATGACATGTTGCAGCTATTCTAATAAAATGCGGCCTCTCTGCAAAAACCTGCCTATCTTGTCTGTTGAATATTGTGGTTGCTGGGGGAAAACACACACACACACACACACACACACAATGTTCCTTGGCTCCTCTCTCTGTCATCAGTCCTGTCCAACTTGCTTCCAGCGCCCGGAAATGACATCATCCATGGATGCCAGCAGGCCACAAGTTTTGCTGAGTGGGAAAAGCAAATATTGATAGAAAGTGATGGGGATGCGGTCAGATTTCATATGGTCAAGATCAGTACAGTGGACGCTCGGGTTGCGAACGTGATCTGTGCAGGATGCATGTTCGCAACCCACAGCATTTGCAACTCTCAGTTGCGCGTCGGCGCTTCTGCGCATGCGCAACTGCGATACCCGGAAGTAACCCGTTCCAGTACTTCCAGGTTTTGGCGGTCCACAAGCCGAAAAAACGCAACCTGAAGCGTCTGTAACCCGAGGTATGACTGTGCCTGGGTTTTGCCACCATGAAATTTTCCATTACCAGTTCCCATACCTATAGCTGTGGAAATGTATTGACTAATTGAGCTTGGATCTAGCCTCCCCTGCCCTGTGAAAATGTTGTTATTATTATGGAAACTGTGAAAATGATCAGGAACATACTAGACAGTAAACCCTATTGAATTCCGCGAAACTCAGAACAGAGTAAAAATGTTCAGGTTTGCAGTGCAAGGCGGCACAGTCTTTACCCAGTTACCTGGGAGTAAGCTCCATTGAAGGCTCAATCTACAATATAGGCATAAACACTCCACATGTTTCCTTTAAAATGGCTGGCTGCAGAAGGATTGCAATTAAATAATTTAAAGTGGATGGGATACATTTTCCTTTGAAATTATAGGAAGTGCTTTGTATGCCAGCCTCACCATTTCCTTCATTTGGTACAGGAATGTTGTTTTCAGTATAAACAGGACAGTTTTTGTACCTGCACATGTTGTTGTTTAGTCGTTTAGTCGTGTCTGACTCTTCGTGACCCCATGGACCAGAGCACGCCAGGCACTCCTGCCTTCCACTTCCTGCTGCAGTTTGGTCAAACTCAAATTGGTAGCGTCGAGAACACTGTCCAACCATCTCGTCCTCTGTCGTCCCCTTCTCCTTGTGCCCTCCATCTTTCCCAACATCAGGGTCTTTTCCAGGGAGTCGTCTCTTCTCATGAGGTGGCCAAAGTATTGGAGCCTTAGCTTCAGGATCTGTCCTTCCAGTGAGCACTCAGGGCTGATTTCCTTCAGAATGGATAGGTTTGATCTTCTTGCAGTCCATGGGACTCGCAAGAGTCTCCTCCAGCACCATAATTCAAAAGCATCAATTCTTCGGCGATCAGCCTCCTTTATGGTCCAGCTCTCACTTCCATACTTCCATACATCACTACTGGGAAAACCATAGCTTTAACTATACGAACCTTTGTCGGCAAGGTGGCAACTACACATACACACCACTTTTAATTGTTCTCCAACATGTGGAGGGGTGGGAAAAGGAAAACTGGAACAGTCCAGAGTCAAATCAGAAACTGGGATGCCTTCTGTAATTCTGGTACTGTCCCTGAAAAATTGGGACACTTTGAGGGTATGGAATCATCCTCCAGAAGTGCACCAAAACAAACCAGGCTAGAGAGGGTGATGGAGACAGACAGAAAGGGGAGATGGGTCAACAAGACAGACATGGGTGGTGGAGAGGGGCCCTAGCTCAGTGACAGAGCACATGCTTTGAATGCAAGAGGTCCTGTCCCTGGCATCTTGTCATAAGGAGCCTCAATGAACAAGCACCTCTCTGGTTGAGACCTAGTTGGTGGAGAGCCTTGTGGTCTTCTGAATGCTGTTGAACTATGACTCCCATCATCAGTGCTATCAGGGAACCTCCCACCCTTCTAAACCAGGGTTACCAGACATCCCCAGTTCCCGGGGACAGTCCCCGGATTTGCAAACCTGTCCCCGGACAAATTCCGTCCCCAGATTTACAAATCTGGCCCCGGGAAACATGGCAGCAGCAGCCTCAGCAGCCAAGAGCCAGCCTCATAGAGCAGTTGGCTCTGGCCGGCTTCAGGAGCTGCTCGCTGCCGTGGTGCCCACCATTTTTCCTCGCCAGAAGTCTCCATATGATGTGTCTTGTGTGCAACATATCATATGGGGGAAGGGGGCAGGAGATTGGAGAAGCCTGGGGAGTCACGGACGGGCGGTATGCCATTGCCAGGAGGGGCGCAAGGTGCACGGTTTCTCTGCTGGGCAAGGTGCAAAGCCCTTCTTTTGCACCCTGTGAACCTGCCCATGACTCCCAAGCCTCCCTCGATCCCCTGCCCCCTTTGTTTTGACTGATCAGGGGAGGCTCGAGAGTTGCGGGCAGGCGGCTGTTGCCAAGTTTTTTAAAAACTCTGCGCATTTCATAGAATCATAGAATCATAGAGTTGGAAGAGACCACAAGGGCCATCGAGTCCAACCCCCTGCCAAGCAGGAAACACCATCAGAGCACTCCTGACATATGGTTGTCAAGCCTCTGCTTAAAGACCTCCAAAGAAGGAGACTCCACCACAATCCTTGGCAGCAAATTCCACTGTCGAACAGCTCTTACTGTCAGGAAGTTCTTCCTAATGTTTAGGTGGAATCTTCTTTCTTGTAGTTTGGATCCATTGCTCCGTGTCCGCTTCTCTGGAGCAGCAGAAAACAACCTTTATCCCTCCTCTATGTGACATCCTTTTATATATTTGAACATGGCTATCATATCACCTCTTAACCTCCTCTTCTCCAGGCTAAACATGCCCAGCTCTCTTAGCCGTTCCTCATAAGGCATCATTTCCAGGCCTTTGACCATTTTGGTTGCCCTCCTCTGGACACGTTCCAGTTTGTCAATGTCCTTCTTGAACTGTGGTGCCCAGAACTGGACACAGTACTCCAGGTGAGGTCTGACCAGAGCAGAATACAGTGGCACTATTACTTCCCTTGATCTAGATGCTATACTCCTATTGATGCAGCCCAGAATTGTATTGGCTTTTTAGCTGCCGCGTCACACTGTTGGCTCATGTCAAGTTTGTGGTCAACCAAGACTCCTAGATCCTTTTCACATGTACTGCTCTCAAGCCAGGTGTCCCCCATCTTGTATTTGTGCCTCTCATTTTTTTGCCCAAGTGCAATACTTTACATTTCTCCCTGTTAAAATTCATCTTGTTTGTTTTGGCCCAGTTCTCTAATCTGTCAAGGTCGTTTTGAAGTGTGATCCTGTCCTCTGGGGTGTTAGCCACCCCACCCAATTTGGTGTCATCTGCAAATTTGATCAGGATGCCCTTGAGTCATTTATGTTTCACAATGTGCGAAAGAAGGGCTTTTCACCTTGCCTGGCACCGAAACCGTGTGCCTTGGGCCCCCCTGGGCAACACTCCCCCGATCAGTCAAAACAAAGGGGGAAGGAGATTGGGGAAGGCTCAGGAGTCACAGGCTTGCAGCCCGCCATTGCCCAGTTTTTTTAAAAACTCTGTATATTTAAGTTTCACAGGGTGTGAAAGAAGGGCTTTGCACCTTTATACAATATGCATGTGTGCTTGGGCCCAGGGTCTTTTGCCTCACCGTCCCCACTACTGACTCCCTGTTGCTACTCAGCTTCAAAAAAAAAAGAAAAGTGTCCCCGGATTCATAGAAAAAAATCTGGTAAACATATTATATTTTTTAAAAAAATGATATTTATTAAAGTTTCAAAAAATACAAAAAATACAGAATACAGAAAGAAGAAGAATAAAGTTTTTTAAAATATAACCAAAAAAGTAAAAAATAAAAAGAAACATACCAAATAAAACAGTTAAAAGGACATTAAATTTCCATAAACTATCTTCCTTATACTTATTTCCCCGGACCTCCTCATACCTCCCTTTTTTGTATTCCAGTTCAATTTGTTAGTTCAGCAAATCCTTACCATTAAACTTTTACCCAGTTGCAAACCTTTTTTCATATCTCTTAAAGCATTACAGCTAAAAACCTCTTAGTTTCTATCCAACATCCTTCTAAGATTCCTTAATTTTACAATATTTCTGTAAATAGTCTTTAAATTTCTTCCAATCTTCTTTCACAGACTCTTCTCCCTGATCTCGGATTCTGCCGGTCATTTCCGCCAGTTCCATCTGGTAAACATATTATAAACGTAATTGTGACACTGAGGGGAAGGGCAGGGCCAAGGAGGCGAGTTAACATGGATCAGTTCCAGCCCCTGGGCTGGTGGTTCCCTATCCCACCCCTGCCCTACACCACATTGTCTCTTGCAGTAGAGAGCCAGGTTGTGATGGAGTATGGCTTGTATCTCTCGTCCCATCAGTAAGCAGGCATCTGCTGCCAGCAACCCATGCCAGCGTGGCCCTTTGGATGAGATTTATGTTGGCCCAGCGCCTAGTTTCCCTTTCTGAATTCATTCCTGTTTCCAGTCTCCAGTTGCAAGGGGGTTTATAAACCCTTTGGATGATTCAGAGCTAACCATCAGTTCGTTCACGAGAAGACAAGTAATGGTGGGCAAGTCTGCTTAAACATCGAAACCAGAGGCCTTTCTTCTGGGCATGGTCGGCCAATTGGTGTGAAGGGAGGATAGAACTTTCTTTATGTATGCTACAACAGCAGCAAGAATACTCATCGGGAAGTACTGGAAGACACAAGAATTGCCCACCCGAGAAGAATGGCAGATGAAAGTGATGGACTACATGGAACTGGCTGAGATGACCAGCAGAATTCGAGACCAGGGAGAAGGGTCGATGGAAGAAGATTGGAAAAAATTCAAAATATATCTTCAAAAGTATTGCAATATAAAAGAATGTTAGAAGGAGGTTGGAAAAAGAATATTAGGTCGTTTTGGTAGATATGATATAATGGAATAAGCAAAAATGAGTTGATGAAACTGACGAAATAGAGGAGGTTTAATTACATTATTTTAATTTTAAAATACGTAAATGAAAATAAGGTTAGAGGGATTTGCTGGAAACACGATTTGAACTAGAATACAAAATTGGGAGGTGAGAGGAGGTCATGGAAATAAGTAAAGGGAAAAGG